CATTATGCAGGAAAAATATGGAGGCACATTCTGAGATTTTTTGAAACTGTGCGACTTCACAGGAATGAAACACCAGCAAGAATTACATCAGCGGAGCCATTTGCCATCTGTTGTCAGTAATACTATAAAGCCCAGCCACCAGACAGCAGTTTCAAAGGTTACAAACACAAGGTTTTCAAGCATCCACAGATCTCTGGGTAACTGAGCAGGACACAGATTCCTTCAGATATGTGCGACCCGAGGGTCTGCCAATCATTCAGCAAAGACAACATGCCAGAGCCGGGAATTGCCAGGCAAGGCGTTTGGAAGTCTCTCAGTATGCAACCTTTACACAATGTGGCAAATACATACCAGCCTCATCACGTAGGTTCCTATAACACACTCACAGCCATAATGCCTGCACACCTCCCACTTGCAAATTGAAACCGGCCAGACTTTCTCCTGTGTTGTTTGTTTTCCCAAGCTTTCCCTCAAGGGAAGGAGTGTGTTCACTGAAACGCTACTATGGAAAGGGACTCGGGTTTGTTAGCCGGGGTTTGGCCTGCAGTTGTCCTTTGAGGGAAGTATTTATGATTTTGTTTCCTGATTTCATTTCTTTTTAGACTGTAACTACATATTTAGGTTAAAGACAGCAAGGTTTCAATAACTTGCCTTAGCTGTGGCAATGTTATGGCAGCCCTTACCTCTTCGTACACACAGCCTGAGTAAAATTCTACCTGCTCCATACCTGAGATTTTAGTTCCACTGTAGGAATCTGGTTGTTAATCAGTCTCATCTTAGAACTCTGAGAAGCTTTTTTAGATGCAGAGGCCATACTCCTGATAGTACCTATACACTACCTGAATTTTGCATTTCCACCTTCCAAGCTGTTGACCTCTTTCCTATAAACTGATTAACACGGATTTCATGGAGGGTAGGGAGATTTCCATCTTCCTAGAGAGACAGATGGAAATTTAAGGCTTCATTAATGCAATTGCCAAACTAGATACACAGGTTTCTCATCCACTAAGTATTTCTCAGGCTCCAGAGCTGCATATACGTGGTTGCTCACTGTTTCTGTTACGTGGTTAACACATAAAAATCTGACTTTCAAGGTATTCTGTAATCAAAAGGAATTTGCAAGAAGGCTGAATTTAAAACAAGAACCTCAAGTTCTAGGTCAACAGCTGGCCTGCTTCTCAACAGCATGGTCTGCCTGGAACTTGTAAAGGGGCTTAAAAACCTGGAAGTGTAAACAATCTTTCCCTGTGAAAAACATACAGGAACAGCCATCAAGAGTGAGTTGTAGCATCTCAATTACAGCACGACATGAACTGAAAAGCAGTATTTCCACAGCAGCTAATGGCTGACTTCATGTGCTCTTAAAGTGTTCTGCATACTCAACTTGCTTACTGGCAGCTGCTCCATAACTATTTTAAACATAAATTTGTGCAATTAAATAACTATACCAAAACTCACACAACACCTAAAAACAACATCAGCTGTCCCAAAAGAGAAAGGAGATGGAAGAACAACTATTCTAAACATTCAATCTGAAGGTGATGAAAAAGTCAGGGGAAAATGTAGACATTAATTGAACTGCCCAACACTACAATGCTTCCTTGGATATGAAAACCCAAGTTCTATTCATCTAGAGATATTTTAAGAAGATCAGCAGAACTGAGAGTCTCCCCCCCATGAAAAGAAGTAGCATTATTACAAATGTTTGACTTCCGTCAGTGGTTGATAGGAGGGGAAAAACAGAGCAATCTGACTGCAGTGCATTTAGCCATGAGCAGCTAGAGGAACTAATGAACAACATCATTATTTTACTGAAGGGGATGAAGTAGCTGCTTTATATAAATGGCAGCAACTCAAAATGTGTTTCAGAAGATAAATTCACTTTCCCTACATTTACCTGCTAGCGTGACAAATTAAGAAAGAAGATATAAAAACAGAGCAGGAGGGAAAGCAGCACAAAAGCTAACTGAGGTGATGCAATGGGCCCTTATCCAAACAAGTGCATGAACAGAGATTCTTGGAAGTCCTCCTAGTCAAACACAAACCCAGAACACCGCACATGCCAGACTCCTCTGGAAATCCATGGTGGAGCACGTGCAGAAGATCCACCTATGCTAAAATCACGTTCTTTACCAAGCACCCGAAGCTCGGCCATTTGGGAACTGACACAGTGCCTGTTTATTTCAAAGCACTCTAAGTCCAGCAGGTACTGAAAGGCTGAGTTCTGCTGGGCAGAGCAGCTCTTCACCCACTGCCAGAAACAGCAGCAAATCAACTCCTGCTGAAAGGAGACGAGGAAAGAGTGGCTTTTCACACAGAAGTTCATCCTCTATGTCCATGTGCTTCTTGTTCTAGTCACCTCATCAACAGCAAAGAAAAGCTTTAATTAACAGTTTTTAAAGGAAGGGTACTATATATGCATACGTATATATTGTATAATTTGTATACATTTGTATAATATAATTTGTATACATATTGTATATATTTGTGTACTTTGTACACTACTCTGCAGTATACAAAACCTTTTATACCTCAACACCAAAACAATCCAACTGTTTTTATGTGGTCAAGAACCAATGTGTTCACTGCCTCTTTTGTCCCTGTTAAACCCTGCTGCTTTTATTGTTTGGTTTTTGCTCAGTTTGGGTAAACAACTGCCGATGGTGCCTTTGAAAATGGGTATTTTTATGCAGTGTTCCCAATACACCTTTAATGGCTAAGTACTTGAGATCTATTGATGTCTTGACTCATCCACCTGTGCTGAGACCCCAAACACACACTGCAAACGGGATTTTGGGGATCTTCCTCTGCCCAGCACCATCTACCGAACCACAGCGGGCAGGAACCTCCAGGCCGACTCTCTCTGGGCAGGCTTGGACTAGCCGAACACCTGGAAAAGTCACCTGTACGCTGAGAAATGGGAAAATAAACCCTGCAGCACCTGCTCTGCGTGACCCTGTGCGCAGGGCTGGGGCTGCCCGCCTCCCTCAGGCGCGGCCGGGAGCGCGGCCATGAGGGGCTCGGGCCCGCCGGGACACGGCCGCAGGCGAGCGGGAAGAGGTTCCCTGGAAAGCCCCGAGTGTTTCGCGGCGTCTCGGCCGCCCGTGGCCACCCCGAGCCGCCTCCTCCCTCTTACCCGCGGCGGCTCTTCCTCCTCCCTCGGCCGCCATCACTTCCTGCGGGGCGGTGCGGGCAGCCCTGAGGGCGGGCCGGGCTTGGGATGGCGGCTGAAGGGGCAGAGGACGGCGAAAGGCGGGGAGCAGAGGGGCCGTGCCCGGAGAGGCCAGGGGAGGCTGCCGAGGCCGGCTGGGAGCTCGGGGGATGCCCTCAGGCTCGGGGAATGCCCTCAGCCCCCGCCATCGAGGCACGGCCGTGGGTAAGGGCCGGCCCACGCTGCGTATGAACTCACAAAACTCCCACAAAAATCCCAAATTATTCATTTTAAAGGTACAGAATGACAAACCATAAACCTAGCTTTGTGTTAACGGGGGTGGCATGAGGCAGAAGGCTTACGAGAGGCAAATAAGTACAAAAGTAACATTTTTCTATCATTCTGCAGTGACCACTGTTAATCTGAAAGAGGCTTTTGGAAAACCTAGGCAGCGGCCTGCCGTTCATTACCACAAAGCATAAAACTGAGGTACAGGGGCTAAACCCATTACACAGTTGTCAAAATTAAAAGTATAATTCAAGCGTTGACTCAGGGCAGCCTTCATACTCCCATAGTACTGTCACTCAATTATATTTAAAATAACAGATTCAGGTATCATAGAGATCTAAAGCACATGGAAATAATGGTAAGTTTGCAATGTTATAAACTCACTTTTGCATTTCAAGCACCCAGGTATGCTGTTGTGACCTGGAGGCCTGACTCAGTAGAGACTCCATTGCCTGTCAGCACAGCAACCAAAAACTCCTTAGCATGGTTCCTCCTTTCAAATGCTTTAAAACACACAGAAAAGTAAATTAGTAAAATTTAATTTATTTTTTTTTTTCTGTACAGGACAAAGCCGTTTCATCCTGTACACTGACTCTCCAAGGAGCAGATGTCACATCACCACACTTCAGAGACCCTCAGTGGATTTCAGCACATGCTCATGATCCCTTGAAGCTTTGTACATTCCAGCTCTCCCCATGTCACCCACAGCCCAGAGGTTTGGCCCTGCTGTGGTCCAAGGTCTGGTTTGATGCAGCAGGAAAGACAGGAAGCTGAAACCACGCAGGTGATGTTGGTGGGATGACAATGGTTAGATGGTAAAAGATTCAAGAGAAAAGATACAAAAGAAGAAAAAAAGAACCGAAACAATCAACCAGAAAACATGATGATAACTCTAATGGTGAGGATCAGCCCTACTAATAAATGTCAGAGACTGACTTTCCCCAGCCTATTACATACTTCCTGGCCAGCTAAAAATCATTCATTTCATTATCAGCAGTGGTAAGCATGTTACTGTTCAGCCCAGCAATCTGTTAGTTCTAGCTATTTTGCATATTAGCTGATAAATAGTTAATTAAATTGTGCGTATCCTGCTTGCAGAGTCTCTCTGTGCTGGTAAATAACACCTGAAAAAAGCAACCTGTTGATCATGGGTTGCATGTGCCCTGCTAAGTCCTTTCTCCTCATTATAAACAAAGAAATAAATTAAAAAACTTGTCAATACACAGCCTTTAGTTTTGATAATCCTGCAAGAAGACCAGGACTGATAATGTAACAGCCACCCATCAACTTGGCTACATTCAACTCACATTCAATTTGCAATTTTTTCCATCAGTGCTGAGCAATAGGTATATACCAATGGAACTGTTGAAGAACTAAAATAAATAATCAAACAACATAAAACACGTGGCAATTTATATCCAAAACCAGACTGACATTGGCCCAGCTTGCCCAGAAAATCTGTGGCTGCCTCATCCCTGGAAGTGTTCAGAGCTAGGTTGGATGGGGTTTGGAGCAACCTGGGATAGTGGAAGATGTCTCTGCCAAAAAAAACCTGAGTAAGTCTGCCATTATATTTTTCCATTTACCATTTCTATGGATTTTGTTGTAGAAAAGGCCTCATTCCACAGGGAACAGTGAGCTTTACACAGAAGTGGTTTTGTGACATTGCTTTCTATCGACATAAAATACAGCTTCAGTCTTTCCTGAGGACCATTTATTTTTATTAGAATGGAAAGGAAATATGGAGTTATAGATCCTGAAATTTCTATTTAAAGTCCCATTATAGTTTAGTGTTAAATAGCATAACAGCTTGATTTCTCCCTCCTCTCATTAAGTGTTGAACAGCTGAGATAAAAATTAGAATATATTAAACACTTCCACTTCACAGTTTAAAACACTGGTCAGTGCCTGCCAATAACAAGAAATAAAAGAAATATATATAAGTAATAATAAAAGAGATAAAAATTAAAGAGCTGTTTCTAAATGAAGACCCATATTCTGTTCTTCTTGCCACCTACTAAAAAGCTACTCAAGCAGTGTGCTGCCAGCTCTGCTGTGTGGTCAGAATGCATTTGCAGAAAATATATGTTTTTTCTTACTCAGCAGTTCAAACAATTTTTGAAAATATCAGACAACTGTGCAGAAAAATACTCAAGGTGATAACCAGGATTTTCATAGTTGAGTTGTTTCCATTTCCTCTCTACCTCAAGACGAGTGTTGTGTCAATCATATCCGTGTGTAGCAAGAAAAACAACCAGTGTTTAGCTGAGTCAGCTGTGTCTGTGACTTGCTTTCAAATAGCAAGGGCTTGGATTCTTAATTATGGATGGGGAGATTAATTTGAACAGACCTCAAATATCCAGTGACCCTCAAATCCATTGTTTTGAGCACAGATACACATGGGAGTGCTAATATTAAACCTACAATCGTACTTCAACAAAAACTTCAAGAGTGACTTCAGCTGAAGAAATATTAGAGGAAAGAAAAGGTTTCATTTCTGAATCATTTCTGAGTAAGACCTAATGCAAAATTTTCAATTCTTGTTTTAACTGTGGCACAGCTGCAATAAATGCATTATTTCTACAAATATACTGCAATGCACACAAAGCTTGGGAACATGAGCAATCAATTAAATCAGTGCAAAAATTAATTTCAGTGGTCTGTGTTAAAGCACTGGTTTATTTAAACCACTAGCATTCCTCCCACACTTGCACAAGTGTTTACCAACACTGGAAAAGTCTCAGAATCTTTAGTTACAGTTCAGCAAACATCTGCTTATGAAAAAGGACTAACTACCTAAGACAATACTTCTCCCCCCTTCCAAAATTCTATCAGCTTCTTCATAAAGGCTTACTGAATTAATCTTTGCTACTCTGTATTTTTCTTCTACTCCTTTTTTCCAGCTGTAAAAACTTTTAGAACTAGTACTACATTCCAAACAGATCATATCAGTTGTTTCAGAGTGCATGGAACTAATAGACTTACATCTCCCCTCTGGAAGAATATCTAATGAAATACCTAATATTTTACTGCACTCAAGCAATACTCTTCATATTTATATGTATAAAGCAGCTCTCATGTCCCAAAGAAAATAAAAATTCTCACTCTGGAAATTAATTAAGCAACTATAGACCTTAAATCTTGCCTTATTCCTTACAAATTCTTTCTTCATTGGACCACCCTGTACTTAGATATTTTTTTTTCCTAAAAAAGAAAAAAGCCAACACAAATGAAAAATAACTATGAGAACACTGTTATGTCATTGCCCTGCTCAGAATCATAAGAAGTGTTTAAATGACTGGTCAAGCAGAAAAATTAACAGATAAAAATCTTGATTGACACAGGACTATGAAGGACTGTAGGACTTTAAAAGTAAACAGTTGCAGTGGTGCAACTTATTTAAAGTTGTAGAAAGCTCTCTTTCCTGTATTAGAACCTCCTTCAGCCCCAGCAGTCAGCAAAAGTTAATTCTGCAAGTTGTGTTAGGGGAAGAAATGGATGGTGGAATCAATCTTTTAAATAAAGAGAATCCAGGCATTTTTGTGTGTCTCAGCACAGGACAATTTAAATGACAGACACAGGTCATGGCTTTGAACCTCATTCAGCCACCACCCAACTCAAGGGATTTCTTCAGAGATTTTTATTTTTTTCCCTAAGGTCTCACAATTACCAGCTCTCTTGAGATAATATAGTGGCTTTCTATTCTTAGCTTATTTCTCCCCTCCCTCTCTCTCTCAAGCACACACACACACAACACACACACACACACACACACACACACTTCCTACTCAAAACAAGACCCAGTGAAACCCTCTGCCCACATAGTTATAATTCCCAAGAGAACTTGCATATGCTTTTGTTTTGGGCAGTGACAATGTGCATATGTTTTGATTCCAGGCCCCCCCCCCATTGGCTCCCAGGCTCCACTCTAATGAAGACAGACCAGCTATTAAACTCACCAGTTTCAGCAAGCTATAATCCATCTTCTAGAGTTCCTCTGACCTTGCAAGTTGGAGTGAGATTTTCTAACATGTTGCTTGTTAAAGGATATTACCAAGTAAATGTTTTGGATTAGCAAATACACATATTTTCCTGTTGGTGTTTAGTTTGAAAAGTGTACAGTGCTTGGACTCTTTCATAGCAAGCCTGAGATAAAGATCAAGAGCAGTAAATCAGATAAGTGCTGTGAAGAGGAACAGCAAAGTTACCCCTGAGCTTAAGTAAGAAAAAGTCCAAGAACAGTGGAAATGGACAGATAAGTTTTTGTAGTTGTCACTCCTCACCATTAAAGTGAATTACAACTGCTAAATCCAGAATACCCACAGAGTTATAATAAAACTGATTCAATTAATTTTCTGTTTACTTGCACATAAACAAGTCATGAAAAATATTGCTGGATATTTTCCAAGAAATTTCTTTAAGCTATTCCACTTCTTCCTAAATACTCCATGCCTGGGAACGGAAAAGTTTGGGGCAGTCCCAATCAGCCAGTCTTCTATCTTTAATAGGTGCGTAATCATTTTTGCTTTAAAAGTTACATGAGTCACAAATCATCCCTGTCACATGAAGCCAGGCTCATCACAGTTGGAAGAAAAAAGGTGCCCCAAATGAAGTTTGCCACAGATACCTGAATTATAATACTGTTTGGAACTGAAAACCAAGAAAATTGCACCTTCTGGAGATCAGATTTCATGGATTCGAATTCCAGCACTGTGGTGGTGACTGGTAAGATTTTTATTTTATTCTTTGAGCCAGAGATGGTATGCACGCATGCTTGGTCTTTGTCATAAAGTTTCCTGGAGGGAAAAAGAGTAGCAAATGGTCATAGTAACATTTCCAAATGGAAAATAACTTGCTGTGCCTTCCTAAGAGAACTCAGATGCATGTCAGAGGAAACAGTCTGCCCTCTTTACTGCCATCCAGTTTGGTTTGTTGTTCATTCTCTCCATGTTTTAATCTTTGTTGACATTCTCTCTGATCCAAACCACATAGCTCAAGGCAGTGCAGGCTACTATTAGATAAAGCTTACCCAAAAGACGCTCTGAAGCAAGAAAACCAGGTTGCATCACAATGTCATACAGTCAGTGTCCAGAATTAGAGCAGCACATGGCAACTTTCAGGGGCTCAGTTTCATGGCAAGGTAAGGGAGTTTTAAACAGGAGATGCTGCCTCATCACTGCTAAACTAAACCATTCCATTTAAATATACCAAAGGAACATGCCTGAACATGCAGCACAAGGACCAAATTTGGAGTTTCTCTTGCTGGCTCCAACTGCTGCAGCATCAGAGAGGCAGAACCACCAGCTCAGAGAGTCCTGAGCTTTAAAAGGTTAAAGCTCCTAAGGAATGCTGCTGCTCGCTGTTCCTCTTGTTGCCACTGGCTCATCTAAGGGCAATCATTACACATATCTTGACATGTGAGTTGCTGGATAATTTTCCACTGCAGGTCATCTGAGGACATAGAAAGGAGGGTGAAGCTACATCAAAGAGATTTGCATCTTGCTGTTTTCAATTAAACACTTTTTTTTTTTTTTTTTTTTTTTTTTTTTTTTTTAATAGCTGCAAGATGGGCAGAACTAGTCTGGCTTGCTCCAGACATTAACTGCAGATGAGCTGGACGGGAGTGCAGGAGAGGTCAAGAGATACTTGCTAACCTCCTAAAAGGCTGACAGTCTGGTTCTCTCCTATGATATTTATGGCACGTACCCTTGTTGGGAACACTTCTTAGCACCCTTTTAGTTTTTCCCTCTCTTTAGATCACCATTTATGTCCAGAAATCTCCTTGGTTAAAAAGCTTCAGACTAGTTAAGACACACATGCATCTTTAATCTACTACAGAGATTATCACAGCATGTCTCTGTCACATTTTCACCTGCTCAGAATATAGACCTGCTGGCAGGGAGCCCAATTTATTATGTGGAGCCCAGTAACATTCAGCCAGTTACCTCTCCACATTGCTGCAGGTACTGCAATAAAACTCTTGTACATTCAGTCATTTTTCATAGCAATTTTATCCTAAGCAGTACTTTCTTAGGGCCACCACTGACACAAGTGTTTAATTCTGAGCTACTTAATAACTTTATTATAATTCTGCAGTTCTGCACATACAGGTACAGAAACTTGTACATCTGCAGCTCCAAAATGGAGCAGGTGCCACCAGAATTTTGCTCTCAAAGCAGAGTGAGACTAATGGGGTTTTATGTTTCCTGGAAATGTAAAACGAGCACCATTTTCTTTGTTCTCTCTCCATAGGAGAAACTCAAACCTGTAGAAAATATTGTCAAAAACATAAGCTTTTCATAACATTAAAGAGAAAAGATGGAGCAGTTATGAAATAAATATTAACAAATTAAGAAATGCTTAAAGCCTAGCACTAATTAAGCTGTCATAAGCCTGCATTTAGGCTTAATTGTCTCCACATACAAGTAGCATTCAGTGTGCAAAATGGCAATCATCAGCTGTCAAGTATTTACTTGTCCATTTTAGGATTTTAAATATTTAAGAGTTATAGCATTAAAGCCATTTCACAAACTCATTTTCCTGACACCCAGCATCTAGGACTTGGCAGCACTCTGTATTGAGAACATTAATTGATATTAATAAAGACAGTGGGAGTTTTCCATCAAACTTTCTAATGACAAAATGCCCATCTGCTCAAAATTAGGTCTTTTCCCTTTTTATTAAAAAAAAATCCTTTCACAAAAAAAAAGCTGCATAAAACTGAATTAAACACTTTGGAGTCTAAGTGTTCTTTCCCCTTTTCTCCTCTCTTTTCCTGGGGGAAAATGTGAAATAAGACATTTTTCCCAGCATCACAAAAAAGTACATTTCCCAGATAGAAAACTCTAAGTGTTCATAACTCGTGATTAAAATAAATTACAAATTAAATAAATTTTATTCTTTCAAACTTTTTCATTAAATATGCATACCTTCATCTTCATAAACTTTAACAATAAGAATGATACATTAACTGTGACCTGGAGTATTTAATACCATAACTTTTAGTAGTGGTATTTCTACAGATGATGATCCTTCCCCAAAATCATCATTTACATGATCTGTCCTATTGGTTTCACTACATTTAACCAGCTCCAGTTAAGGCTCTCTGATAAGAAAGCCTTGACATGAATAAAGATTGCAGGATTAGTTCTTTTATCAGTGAATATACAAATTGAAAATACTATTCCCCCTAAGTGTTATAAAAGCTAAATCCTATGTAAAAAACTCAATCTTCATAACCAAAAATAGGAAGGTAAAGATCAAATATATGTGTGTGCATCTAATCTGCAATTGCAGAGTAAGCACAGGTTTAAACTATCTTTTTTCCTTTTCAGGTTTTGGTCCCTTCAGACAATACCTGGTTAATTCTAGCTGGGAAGCAGTGAAGGTAGGCATAAAAAAAAAGAAAATTGGAGGGAGGGAAGCATTTTATTTTTCAGACATCCCAACACAAACTGGTTTTAGGCTTTCCATTACCTTGTCATGATTCTAATATTAAGCATAATTGTGCCTCATGGAGCAGACACCAAACATGGAACAAAGAGGATAATGAAGATATGGAATGTTCTTTTACTTGCGTTACTCTTGGTGCTATTTAAGCACTTCAAAATATTATTCTTTTTTTCAAAAATTTATTTTTACCCAGGGTGCCTTTTCTGCAACTGTTGCATGTGCCACAGGTTATGTCTGTCCTCAGTAAACTGATCATCTCTCCTACCACAGTTCATTTTATCCTGTGTGAGATGATTTCCTTCTCATGCAAGTGTAGCCTATTGAATTTTCACTGGCTGCTTCAGGAACACAGAACCTAAACTGTGCCAGTTCTAAGTGTGAGTTCACATTTCAGCTTTGGCTTCCACTTTCAAATGACAGTGAAGTCTACAGTTAAATTGAAAACAAGGTCATTCAGAGGGGGTTTTTTTCTCCATGCACCTTGACTGGCAGTAACAAGTCTGAGATGCAGTCTTGAAAATTCCTTCTTGTTTCCTAAATCTGTGTATTAGAACAAATTTAGCTGGGGGATACAAAGACATGGTTTGGATACCTGGCTTTCACCATCAACTGATTCATCATCCCTGTCACAGACAATAGCCTTTCCTGGAGTTCCGTTACTCTCATAAGGTACCTATGAACAGAGTTATTGTCAGAGGATCTTTCACATAAGATTTTAGCAATCCCAAGGTAGAAAGGAGAAACACAATGAAATCTGAAACTAGTGGGGGAACAGTCAAAGTAGTAAAATTGAACTGCAGCATTGGTCCAAAATGTGCAAGAAATGACAGATAATACTGGTAAAATGGAAAAAGGACATGTAAAGCAAACCAAGGGGACTGTTTTCTATTATGAAACAAGTCCATACATTTTTTAATTCTTTTGGACACTGAAATGAGAAAGTTAGCTATAGGAAAGTATTAGTAATGACAGAAAGGGGATGGCTGTACAGGACTATAACCATAATACAAATTTTGGTGACAGCTACTGAATATCTGTCTTGAAAATGAAGTGCACTCAAGCCAAGATGATTGAAAAACAAGGAGCCAGTGTGTTTTTCCAAAGACCAAAGCTATAGCAATTCCACCAAAACATACACCTTTTCTATTCTGGCTTTGTTGGGTGAAGAATGCTGAGTGTAGCTTGGTGTTTTGTAGAATAAATCTATCGCCCCTTCCAAGTCATGAGGGATGTTATCCTTGTAGGCTAACAAGAAACAAAAATACTTCTGTGATACCTTTCCACACCCCAGTCATGACAGGAGACCCATAAATTATCTTAACTCTAACTTGACATGTGCCATGTACAAATATTTGTCAGTTGACAGTGTTCTTGCTCATTATTTCCTGATTCCTATTGGTTCTAATTTTGGGTGTAAGATCATCCTCTTCTGGCTGAAAATAGAGCATGTTCTTTATCTGCAAGCAAGACAGCTTCGAGTGAGAATGCACCGATGGGATGAGTTTTCTGTAACAATGCCATGAGCTGGCTATGCCAGGAAGTTACATAACAAGGGCCACAGCATTCCATAACAAAACAGATGTCAGTCCTTGTGCATGGAGAAGAACAAATCCATTTCCCTCTGATGTGGCACCCTCTATGTGGAATTAATTTGTATTCAGACTGGGGATGCTGCTTTCGTTTCCTACTCGCTGGCAAAGGTGGTTAATTCAGGCAATTCAGAGAAATTTGCTGCAGATCTGGAAGTACTTTGAATTTCGATAGGCTTCTCCACGCTAAATAGCAATCTCATGGTATTGTTCCATTGGCCTCATTCATAGGAGTGCCCCTCTGATCTTCAGGAAGCTTATGCACATATATTAAAGATAGCAAAATTTAGTATTTACATCTGGAAGTAATCCTGTCTTGGCTTGGGGTACCCACATGGATCGCTGGAGTGACATAAAACCCTCCTGCCAAGTCTCTTTGCTGTGAGCCACACAAGTGTGCACTCAAATTCATCCTCAGGAACGTGCTGAGCAGCCAGAACAGACCTACTAAATGTGACTGGTCAGGCTTAATGCCTTTGTAGCATTACCCAGAACTATCCTAATTATTACCCCAAAATGAAGTAGGTGCTTATCAAAAGCCTGGACACCACAGCACCCTCAGAGATGATGTAATGCCGATACATGCAGTCTTAAAAGTTCACATCCCAGAAGGGTCCTCATACCAAAGGCATCTGAAATCCTGTAAAAATACATTTAACAGTTCCAGTGTCCTAATTCCAAAGCATAGCCTCACCCTCCGTGCTTTTGGAATGGATTCTTTGCCAAAGAACCATGGCTGCCCTTCTGTGAGCAATACTTGCTCTGACTTACAACTGCTTCCTTAAGCTCCTCCACAAGATGATGCTGATGGAATCAGCTGTGCTCCTGAAACTCTCTTCTTGCTGTAGGGAAGATCAGAGATTGATTCAGTGAGCACACAGCCCATTCCAATAGCTACATCCCTTCTATGTCCTCATCGGACACACAGAAAAATATTATTTCCCTTACAAATTCACCTGCCTTTCTGGTGAATAAGCCAATTTCCCTTGAAGTCCTTGGGAATCCAATGATAAATATGAGTAAAACTCTACAAATCTCTATGTCTACTGGTTTAAAAAGAGGATTTTTCCTGAATTTCCTCTTTTAGAATATGAAGATATAATTTTCCCAGAATGTGAGGAATACCCCATTGTTTTTGCGTGGACCCAAGTTCTCATCACAGCACAAGACTCTCACACAAGGCATTCATCAACATTGCATTCTTCATCCATGGAGTTTTTGTTCTTCAGCAGGTACCCCTCGAGTGTTCAGGGAAAAGGGAATCCAATGGACCCGAAAGCACAGACAAACCTGTCAATCCAAGGTCATGGAGAAAAGCTCCAGAGCTCTTATAGACACCATCACCTGACCCAGGATGGTTGTCTAGCACTAGAAAGAAAGGTTATCTTTTAGAAACCTGTCTCACTAAGTTTTTCATGGTTCTTGTAACTTCATTCACCTGAAATACGTGCCTAAAATATGCACAGAAGCTCTGCCAGCAACACTTTTAACTCTGGAAGCGCAGGACATTCTCACTAACAGAAACACCACCAGGTGTTTACTCTGCATTTGCTGCCAGATCACACTGAGTTCCACGATGTGTTAGTGCTGCAGCACCACATTGCACTTTCAGAATCCCAGATCCCCTGATTTATTTATTCCATGCTACAGACTGATGGTCCCACCTAATAACCCTTGATCCAACCCTGCTGATGTGTCTCCTCCAGAAAGTCCTGTCTGCAGCTTGGCAGCAAAATGACCTATCAGGGCACTCCACCATCAAGGTCACAGTCCCCAGTTAATAGGGCACAAATGCAAGTTGAGTGACAACATTCATAGTAATTAAACTGTTAGTGCAAAGAACAGGTCACATTTCCAACTGCTTCTGGGAACTATGTCTGCTATCAGGAGATAAGGATCAGATCTCCCAGCAGAGTTTTTCATCCTGCCACTGACCATGTGGTCTTTGGAAATCTGTCATTTAATCTGTCTCTCTCCCTCTCTGCTTTAGTTTCATCATCTGTGAAACTAAGACATTGCTATTTAGTGCCTTCATTTCTGTTTTGGAACTTTCTTACATCCCTGGAGTTTTAAGAAGGTTATCTACAGGATTAGAAAAAACCCAACAACTTAAAACAACCAAACACCCCAAACCAAACACATAAACAAAACCCCACTAACCAGCCACACAAAACACGTTTGTTTGCAGTGTACTTGCAGTCTGGCTGGGGCAACTGAAACCTTCTGGTTTCCTTTCTGCACCAACACAAGCAGTTCACAAAATGCAACCACCTTCCCAGCAACCCAAATCAGTGAGAACTCAGGCAAAATCAGGAATGTTTTCCAGAGTTTTCTAGAAGTCCAAGCTATTTCCAACACACAGTGTTTCCAGCACCAACCTGAGCACAGTGCTGTGCAAATTGCTTCTCTTTGGGCCAGAACACCAGTGGACAGGACTATGAGCAAAACTCACAACAGCTCAAGGTCAGCAGCTGATAATGTTGGATTTCTTCTCTCTTCTAGAAAAGGCATTCCCAAAAAGAAATCTTCATGTTTTCTTTCAAACCACTTCTCCCACAAAACAGTCCTCCAAAACTTTTCTCCCCTGAAATTTCCTGTTTCAACTACAAAAAACAGGCACTTGTTTACTGAATTCACTCACCAGTGTGAGCTCTGGTTTCCAGGTGCAGTTACCCTCCTCTAACCAGCTTCAGTCTCCCACCTTAAATGCAAAAATGCTTCTGGTTAAGGCTGAGACAAGGGACAACCTTTTTTTATTTTGCTCCATGTTTACACAACATCCAGTCTAAGGGGTGTAAGCCCATGGCTGGGATTGTTGGACAACACAGTAATACACATTATTGACAACACACTGAAATTGCTTAGGACACAGAGAACCATCTTCCTTTCCACAAATTCTCAGCCATTTGCTATTGGCCAGCTTCAGTTTGGTGCTGCACAAAAGTATTTCTGTGTGTTTCTGCCATGACAGCTGGTGACAACAGAATGTCTTGACCCAGAAAGGACAAGAGGAGAACAGCATTACAGCTGTGGCTTTGGGTCTCCATGTTCTGCACCAAAGTTAAGGGTAGTTGAGTCCTCCAAGCCTTATAGTTTAAAAGAAAGAATCTCATTAAATGTAAAAATTAAAAATGCTTTGGAAAAGAAAATGCTAATTGTGAACCAGCTGGGGTTTTCTTGTGTGGAGGCTCAGGCACAGTACAGCATTCTTCAGCAAGATGATGCAATGGGCTCTCAAAGACTGTCAGTGCCCACAGGAAAAAAGGCTGGCACTATTCTCCAAATGTGTTTACTTCCCTGCAGGCATTGTTTCCTTGCTTGTGTCAAATGGTTTATTGAGCACAGCTAATCAATGCTTCCGCTGACAAGAAAATTGGAACAGTTTATATAGGAAGCGAGTGTTGAAGGAGAAATTTCCCAGAACTGTGGGCCTCATCTGCGTGGGTATCCTGAGTGAGAAACAAAAACCTGAGAAGACAATGACACTGAATACAGTTAGAGGTCTCTTGGGCTAATCAGACACCTCCACTTTTGCCTGTGCCCCCTTAAAATCTTAACCTGCACCATCCTTGGTAGTGGTTTACTCAAATGGAACAGGTATTTTCAACTGAACACTGTTCTACTTTTCTGGGAGAAAACTTTCCGCCTCAGATGAGTTCCTTCTGCATCCTGCCACTGCAGCTGCTTACCTTCTGCTGAGGCCTATGCCTTGTTTGTTAGCCTTGTTCCACTGACAAAATAATTTCAAGTCACTTCCATGTGACATTTATTCTCCAGACCTTCTTCCAACTACCTGGGCAACGTGCTGCTTTGAAGGGTGCCTTTGTTCCCTTCACCTCAATTCTGGGCACAATTTTTTCTTTGGGAAAATTGGTCCTGTGTGGAAATTCAGCTACATAATTGTACATAATTGTACAGAAAAGTAACATTTCAGTGACGTTTCCTTTTACTGGAGAAACATTCTAGACCAAAAAATAAATTCATTCTAAATGTGACTTTCTCATGGTGACAGTGAACTTCAGCACAGCTTACCTGAACCTGCTCAAACCAGCAGATCTCACGCCCCTGAGGTGAAAAAGTCATGCTTAAGGTGAATTTTCCTTGGTTTTGTCTCTTGGGAGTGCAGTTTTTCTACCAGATCTTTCAGAGAAACAGCTCTTACCTTCAGCAAAGCCTATTAGATGCTTTCAAGGGTGGAGCTTTTCTGAGAGATGCTGTCTCATGGTTCCCCAGGGACCAGTCCCAAAGCAATAACCCCTCCCACCCACTGGAGACTGAGCATCTCCTTGGAAAACACAACAAGGGCTCCACATGGATGGATATGACATAAGGAAACTGTTTAGCACATTTCAGTCTCTTCAAGTTAGAAGAGACAGAGCAACCACAAAACAAATCTCATTGCAGACCAGTGTTCAGGAGCCATGGGCTAAGGTGTTGCTCTTTTAGGTGTTTTCTCAGTTGAATCAGCCCAGTTTCTTTATCACAGTCAGAAATCCAATGCTCATTCAAGTCCTCGGTGGCTTTTTTGTAAACACAGGAGCTGTCCAAGAGAGGCCTTGGTGAAAACATCGATCTCCGGATCATGCAGCTGCCAGCAGTTTACCAAAAAGCAAAGGAACAAGTCTGCAAGATATGGACAACTCTTCAGCCACTGGTGGGTAATGATGAAGTTACACAATTTCCTCCCTTTTCCTGAATACAAAAAAAAATCTCCCAGAGAGTATTGCAAAACATCAAACAACTCTGGAAAGGGACTACTGAAAGCTCTGATCAAAGTGCCAAGCTGAAAGTCAGAGCACACACTAATTAGCATACTGGTTTAACCCCGTGCCAGTTAAACAGCATAACTGATGCTGAACAAAGGAAAGGAAAATATCTACCATAAACTGCAAAAAAGGTACTACAGCTCTGCAGCCCTGACTAGACACAACAAAAACTACAGCCTAATTTTGTTCTCATTTATAATCCCTTATCAAAGTTTTCTTTAGACTTGAGCAAAACTCCCCACCTTGAAGCCAGTAATTCACATAATGCTTGGCGCTTTTACATCACATGTTTTTTAAAAGCAGATCTCATTTTTAATTTCCTGTTATTCACTCTGGTGGGAAAAACCAGCTTACAGTTCATGTTGGGCTGGCTTCCTCTGCCACAGCGCTCATCATCCTGGAGCAGTGTGGGAAGAACAAAGGCTACCAGGAGAGGGATGCTTGTGGTTTTCACCCAGAAGGTGCCTGCTGCGTGCTAGATGGCCCAGAAAAGATTGAATCTACAATTAATATGAAGAGTCTCTGGAGAAACATCTCAGTGGAAGGGATTGATATCATCTTTTCCAGAGATGCGGGAAGGTAAACATCGCGTATCAGGGGCTCACAGAAACAACTCAATCAGCTCATTTAACCTTGGGGAATCTTGGCCATGACCTCTCCTCCAACATAAACCACTCTGAAGCAAAGTCTTCAGAAGGGCACAAGTATGAAATTGGGATGAATTTAAATTTTATGTAAAGCAGCCTTCATGAAAAACTACAGCAATATTTTTCCATAGATTTGTAAACTCCAAAAGAAACAAGTTCCAACATAGTACACCCTGTGATGAGCAACTCCAGTAAACCTCAGCTATTAAGAGAGTCTGAAAGCAATACTGACTATTAGCAGATTTTAATCTATTTTTCTCAGCTGGGAGGGATACAAAATGTAGATAGATACACTGGAGAACAGCAACTACAGGTACTGTTAGAACCAGGCCTGTGATCTCATTATGTGTTCCAGCAGCACTGAAGCAATTTTCTACTATGCTAGTCTTCACTAGAAAGGAAAACAAAATGGTACTTTTTATTTTGTTTTAAAGAAAAATTAGCTAATATTGGCCCTTAAATTTAAGACTTGCACCTGAATTTTAAAAGGTGGAATGATAAGAAAAATCCCTTCTGACAGGAAGATTTTATGACTTAGACAAAAAGTGTGTTACATGGTTGTAATTTCCAGCAGGGTGTGTTACCTTTCCCACCCCACAAGAATCCCTGTCTTGTGATTTTTTTTTTTTTATTTAAAGTTCTTTTTGGGTGGGTGTCTGAGAAACCAAACCATCAGATAAGCAACATTTGTTTCTCAAACTTGGTTTATTTCAGCATTTCCTTTATCCACTAAGCAAATATGTTCTTAATAATTTCATAAACCAGATCTGGTTTGGCTACTTAGAATATTTAAATTTAATCAAGGTTTACTGAGCCTTAATTCAGGTTTCTGGTTTTGTTTTGTTCTTAATATTGCAGGTACATCTGTGATTACACCTACTACACTTCTCTGTATTATGGCAGTGGAAAAGCTGCTTTCATCCACGTCCCTCCATTATCTGAGTCAGTAACAGCAGAATTTCTAGGAAAAGCATTACAGACCATTATCTTAGCAATGTTAGAACAGTGTGGGGAACAAAGAGAGATGGATCATAGAGGGGAAAAATGATGATTTCTTAGAATGCAATTCCTTACCTCTTAAATGAAGCAGTTCTAAAGATTATTTAAAACACACACAAAGGATTTTATAGCCCCTGTTATTTTCAGTGAAATTTCCTTGCAAAACCCAACCAACCATTTGCAACTCATAGAAAAGGCTTGAGGGGGAAAAAAACCTCAAATGATTGGCGGTTCATATTGCTAACAATACAATTGTTCAGATTTCAGAAAGCGAAAAACTGGACTGGAAACATTTTAGATGCTTAATCCTGGTTGTGTTGGTTAGAAAGACACAAATAAAGACTTGCTGACCCCAGATGGATGCTCACAGCTACAAGGACTCAGCACAGGATGGATGTTACCAGAGGCCCCCCCCTCAGCCCCTGTGTGAGTCCAGAGTTCAGGCCACAAAAAACGTGGCTATGGGAGAAACCATAACACACTTGGGGATTCTGGTTTGTCGAGTTTTAAAATTCTGCCTTACTGACCTGCTGTAGATTCTCCTTTCCACATCAACAACAGGCTGTGACCCAGAATGACTTCAGAGTACAGAGAAAACTGGAAACCAGCAGGATCTGTAATGCTCTTGGTAACTTGAATTTCAACCCAAAACTGCCACTTGCCCCAAATTCTCAGTGCCTGTCCCAAAGGAAAACCCCACAGTCCTTCCACAGCCCAAAGGCAAATCCCACAGCTCATCTGTCCCAAGAGAGGCAATCCTGGAGCACTGTGCTGTGGGGAGGGTTAGGGCATGTGAGGTTACCTACAGAACAGGAACCAAAGCAGATCCCAAACTGTAAAACCCAGGACTCCTCCACATCTCTAACAGCTCCATACAGAAGTACTGGTACCACGGAGGGTCACAGCACTGCCCTTCAGCACACAGGCAATGTCCATGCCTGAAACTCTGCTGCCAGGACACAGGGACAAGATTCAATCAGTCAGTGGAACAGCACAGCAGCAGCTCAATCTGGACACCTGGGATTTCCTGAGGGAAACAAAAGCCTGTTCCTCAAGCACCACCAGTAAAAGGCCGAGACAAACGTAACAGCACAGGCAGCTGCTGGGGCTTTGGGCCACCACTGAGCCTTGTTTTAGTCAACATGCTGATGGCCAAGAGTCTGAGGAACTGGAAACGCCAAGATAATGCTGGTTTTCTTGGCACTGTCTTTTCCAGTGTGAAAACCAGGTGCTGGCTGGCTGTACCTCACATGGGGATCACTCTGCAGGTAAATAAATAATTAGCAATGCTCACCTTATTCACCAGAACCGCCTCATGCAAAACTGCTCAAATCTCAGACATGAAGGATCCAGAATCTCAGTGTCTCTGGATGAAAATGCTTTTGATTTCTACCAAACAACGGCTGTACTGACCTCCTATTAAGAGTATCTCAGTTAGATACAGCCAGAAAGGGCAGAGGAAAACCAGAGCAGCATTACTCTGCATTTTCTAACCTGTACTTGCTTTGCATAAGGAGCAACAAAATCACAAACAAGAAAATGCATACAGAATTCTTTTATTTAACTTAAATCATGTAGTACTGAAACTACTAGAAAAAAGCAGAGTAAGAGAAACTAAAGGAGCCTTAGCTTCAGCCATTCAAAATAGACAAAGTTTCTTCTTCTCATAATGTAAAGAATCCCGAGTATATCGCAATAACAGGAATAAATTCTTACAACAGAATATACAAAAACATTTTGAAATTTTTTTATCTACTGATTCATTTTAATATAAACACAGGAATTTCTTTAGGAATAATTTATACACAGCAAGTCTTTTTATGTAATAAATTGGCCATGTTATTTTTTAATTTTCTCTTTAAAAAATTTAAACAAGAAAAATTGGAAAATGTATTTGCAACTGCATCCATTCCTTAGCACTTTCTCGTTTTTTGTCCCAGAGGTAGACAAACTCTGGCCAATCCTTTCATCTCAAACCTCACTGGTTCAGAAAACAGAAGAGAAAGGTGTCCCTGTCCACAGCAGAGAGGTTGGATCTTCAAGCTTTTTAAATAACAATAAATAGGGACCCTGCCTTGCTCATTTCAACAAAGCTTCCAATGGTGCTCAACAACTTTAGAGGCTGCACACAAGCATTTAAAGTGATAAGAAATTTGTAAATAATTCTTCAATAGTTATTACCAAAACCACCTTCCCTCTTTCCCTTACGCAGTCCCATCCTTCAAAGCCCCCGTGGTGCAGGTGCTGAGCGGCCCCGAGAGCCTGGGGAGCAGCAAACCCCGCTCTGTTTCCCCACCAGTGAGGTTCCTGTCATCCATGAAGGTAACTGCCCTAGACAGCAAGTGAAATGACCAGGTAAGATGATCCCACCCCAACCAGAGGGCTCTGGAAGACCAGGATACTGAAGATACAGAACATTTTCCCAACTCCTTAATGCACTATCTGTATGCTGGGTCACAAAGCGTGGGCGGGATGGGGGAGAGGGACAAGCCATGAATTGGACAAGTCGGCGATTCCTTTTTGGCATATTGTAAAGCTAACTAGTAACTGGTACCATGGAAAAACTGATCACAGACAGACACACCCACACACAGACACAGAAAAGTGCCCTTAAATTATATTTTAGGCATTTATAAACTACAAACATTTTATAAAATTATTCTATGTACTTACAAAACGCAATGAAACATGTAATTAGTTCTTGTAAACCAGATCTTCGTCAACTGACTACCCGTAATCTACTGGACTTAAAGCCCTATTGAAAATGCTAATTAATGGTTACTAATCAACGGAACGCATACCCAAAAAAATATTTATGAGCACACACGCATATGCACACACACAAACTAGTGAAGTCCTAAGGTACTTGCAAAACAGGCCGACCGTAGGTGAGAGATCTGTACAGGCTGAGGACCAACCACTGCCACCCTCCTGGTAAGGAATTCACTGCTCCAGCTGCAAAGTCCAGAGGTTCATTTACAAGTACCAACGATCAGAACTGTGACACCTGAGCACTGGATGCTGTCCCATATAGATTAAGCTCAGGGTACTACCTCAAACTTTTGTCAAGCCCTGTGTCTCTGCAAATCCCCACTGCTGCGTCCTTTGTTTTCAGGTGTCTCCCCACAAACTCCTCCGTGCTGACTGACCCAGCTGCTCCATGTCAGAGGCTGTTCAGCACCTCTGAGCAACCACTTCTGAATCGAGGTGTCCTTCAAAGCCCTCCTGTCTACTTCAGTTCTGTATCTTCAGCACCCCTGGCCACTTGTGGTGTTTCTACACATCATTCTTCAACAATTGTCTGCACATCTACTCATGGGTTAAGTTGCAATATCTGGCTTTATCACTGGTTAGTAAGGAGTGGATCCCTTGCACCTTCCTCCACTGTTGTTCAGCCCAGTGATTGAATACACGGTTGACAAACAAAATAAGAATAACAGGAAACAAGTGTTACTTGTACTAATGGAATGAAAAGGGTTTAAATATATATATATCTATATTATAGATATACATATGCAGATATATATATGTATATATAGATATATATGTATGGAGTTACACCAACAATAGGAGTGTTGTTCACTTAGACTTGGATTGTACCCAACACCCCTCAGCAGTTCCCAGAGGGCCTGGCAGCAGCTCCCTCTGGTCACCACTCATCCTCCACAAACTGGGCTTGCTTTCCTTTAAGAGACCAAGAGGAGCATCAGGGGCATCACACAGGGTGGCTCCACACCTTGCACCGTGCTCGGCTGCCACCTCTGGTTCATCATCCCCCCCAGGGAGCCCCTGATTCAGTGCCAGGGCTGTGTTTGCACAGCAACTGTGTTCCCTGCAGCCAAACCACCTCCTCTGCCACGGGCACTCTGCAATGCCAGCCAGGAGAGCCCCCCAGCCGAGCCCTGCAGCCCCAGCCGCCTGCTCCCCTCGGTGACGCCAGCTCGTTATCCCACTGCATCGAAACATCTCGGTGCCATTCGTCAAAATGCTGGTTTTCAGGGCTGGGTGGGCTTTTGTGTTTAATTTATAAACAAACTGGATTACTTTAACTTTATTCAAACATAGCTGAAGTTCTAAATAAATTTTCCATACCAGACAAGCCAGTGGTCTCAGGGAAGAACAACATTACAAACCATATTATGACTCTATCAAGCCAACATTAATTCTCAGTTGTTCACATGCACAAACAACTCGATTTACTGTCCAAGGGAAGTCTGCATGAAAAACCCATGTGAATAAAGCTATTCAAAATGCACAAAACACAACAAAAAAAGCTATGGAAACAAACAGAACGAAAAAGGAATTAAGCTTGAATCGCAAACACAGAATGCAATGGTATCATGAAGGTGGTTTGGTCCAGGAGAGCTGACTGCCATCACGCACACGGACGCGAGGCCTCGTGGCTGTCTTCTACTGAAGTGCTTTTTGAAATGCTTCTCGTGATGCTACGTCATTAGTGTTTCTTCCTAATGCATTGTAAAACCACCTATGTACAATTCTACAAACCAGGAACTCGGACAGTTTTAACAAAACCCTCCTAGCCAGCTGAAAGATCTGAGGATCTCCAGTTGTGGTAATCAATATGTGCAAGGGAGGGGAACAGCCACTGCACCCAAAGGTCACTAGAACATCATCAAACATGGAAAACCAAACCAATCTAATGAAAACTTTCAATTTTGCTGGTTTCTCAGGACTAGGGAGAAATGCTCCCTCCAAAGACAAGCTGTAGTAATTAACCACAGCGCTGTGTATCCAAGAGACCGGGTGTAACTCCAAGTAGCCAAGCACCACATTACTCAGATACCACAACCAACACCTGCACGAACAGCTGCCAGAGCTGGAAAAAAGGAAACATTATACAGCAAGTTGATGGCAAGTTCATTTTAGTCCTGTGTGCTTGTAAACCAGTTACACGCTGCCAGAGGGCAGTTAAAGTTTGATGGCTGGTCCATCAGAATCCACAGTTATAATGCATATAAACAGGGGAAGAAAAGGGAACTGACTTTTTACTGGCACATTAAAAGAAATCAATTCATGTTAGTTTTAGAAAAAAAATAAAATTTAAAAATCAGTGCTCTCATCAAACAGAAGCAGCAAAGACCAAAGCTGTAAATTTGATGTAGTATTATCATCAGGCAGCCTGTGACAGGTTTTGGTCAAGAAAGCAATACCATCCCCTATAAGCCAATTTATTTTTGGGTTCTGATTTAGCCAGTTATCTTTCTGATGCTTGTGACATCTGAGCAAGAGCTGGCAGAATGACTTGGTCCATTCTACTGGACAAACAGAAAGACCATTCCCTTTAGTATTTTTTCTGGACCTTCAAACATTGTAAACATTTGATTTCTGTAACAGATTTCAGGAAATACTCACAATTTGAAGTTTCCATATCAGGTCAGCTGCATTTCCACTCACCCAAACACACAGCGTTTTGCTGCTGACCCAAGAGCTGCTGTGACAGCACGTTAAAAAGCCTCTGTGTTTCCTTTAAGAATGGTCACCCTAAGTCAGATAACTCTTGGATTTCTCCTCACGACAACAAACGTTAAAAAATAGGAGAAACCCTTTGGAACTGAGGCAAATATTCTGAGGTGACCCTCTGTGACAGGCAGTGACTGTTCCCCTCCAGAACCTAGAGCATGTGGTATATGGAGTGAGAGGTTACCAGTATCAACGGCATTTATTGGCTGCTGAGAAATGTGAGATGTATTTTTTTTTATATACACACATATAAAAAAATAAGAGTGAGGTAGATAAATGTTTGAAAAAAAAAAATCAAAAACTGTCCCCCTGTCATACTCTAAAACCCTTATCTCAGTATTTAAATTCATTATGGGGCATCTCTACAGTGATTTAAACTGATATCACAAAATAAATAAAAAATCCTACATAGAATACCTTCTTAATTAACTTTTTTGTCTTTTTCATTTTCAAAAGGGAAAAATAACTATGGGACAGAGGCAAGAGAAGATAATGGGACCTAAACTACACAAGCAAAAAGCACTACAAACTTTTTAAAATCTCCAGTCAAAACTAGCAACCAGTATATTTTAATTCATTGTTCTAACTCAAAAGATTTGAACATTTCCATCCCAGAACCACCTCTTCCTGCCATCGTTTGGTTGGATCAGTGCTAAACAAAGGCCTAGACTGGAACTAAGGTAAGATGAGCAACTGGTAAGACTCCTTGGGTGTCGGCTTCCTGACGGCCCCTCCTTCCCCTCGCACCAAGGCTTCTGCAACTGAACAAACAAGCTCACTCGTCTTTTGTTCTGAGGTTTGGTCTGTGATTTAAGCCACAAGCTTGGACTTGTACAGGTTTCCATAGCTGCCAACACTTCACTGTTTGCCAGCCAAGCCGCTGGCCCCAGCTCTGAGCTTCCCACCAGCCCCACGGAAACAGCGCGGGGGCTTCCCTTTGGTTGGGGGGGTTTTCTTCACTGGGGGTGGGAAGTGCAGCTCAGGTGCCCTCCACGAGGGCTCCCCTCCACGAGGGCTCCCCTCCACAAGAGCTTCCCCATCAGGAAGGTGAAGAGCTGGGGCTGGCTGGAGCCAGGTGATTGATGGCCACCCTAGGAATGCGTGGCATCCCCAGCTGCACCTGGCACAGCTCTTGTCCACAGGGTGAAAGTGTTAAAAGAACTTTTTAAGGATCAGTGACCCAAAAGCCTGGTGTCTGCTGTTGTACCCAACTAATAATTTAAAAAGAATACATGTATGTGTGTGTGTGTCTGTGTGGGATGGGCGGGTGGATGTGTGCCACGACCAGAACGAGCGGGGAGGGCAGGAGGGGTAGGACCCTTGTACAACAATGAATATAAACACTGAACAAGAATGTACTAAATAGTTAACCTTTTGTTTCTGACCTGAGTTTGTATCACGCCTTGCACTGTAAGAGACTTGTGTGCTGTCTGGGCAGAGGTTAGTGGGAAGGAAGGAAAACTGGGGCTTAAAAACACCGCACCACAGCACTGCCAGAGTATTCCTGTGCAGGGTGTCCCTTCTTTCTCCTTGTCCCCCTCCAAAACCCTGTAACCCACACAGGCAAGATGTTGTAAAACAACTAATGGGAAGGAGAGGAAAAAAAAAAAAGAAAAAAAAAAAAAAAGAAATGTATTTATAAAAAGGCATTAAACAGTTCATGGCAAATCATATGAAAGGTATCAGTTACTGGGAAGGAGGAAGTAAAAGTTACACACTATAGTACAAAGCATAAGAAAATTTGTTGAAGTGGAAGGGAAGGGAAGGAGGGCAGACCTGAAGGTTTTCATAGATTAAATCCACAAAGATAAAGAACAAAAAAAATAGCAGCTTTTTTCTGTACAGACATATAGATGAGTATCTGAACCGTAAGAAAGTTATAAAAGTGACACAAAAGACAATGTGTATGCAAATGATCCATGGTCTAACATAGAACTGCAAGACCCTTCGAGAAGTCTCAATAATAAAGAGAAAAGGTCAACAAAGCATCATATACTTGAATCCGGTTACTGCTTTTTTTTGTCTTCTCCAATTTATGTTTCTAGGTGTTTTTTCCTTGCAAGCCTGTGAAGGAAGGCAGGCTGCAACGATGGAGATCTCGGCCGCTTATTTTCAGGTTTTTCATAATTCATTTTTGGCGGGCGGTTGACTTTTTTTGTACACTTATTTGTTTAGCTCACCACTGCCAGTTTTGTCCAGAATTCACTGGGATGGGGACAGGGGTGGAGGGAGGGCTGGTTCTTTACCCCATCCCTTTTATCTTCTCCATCACAAGAAAAAAAAAAAAAAATCACATTTTGTCCAGTTTTGAAAAAAATATCTAGACAATTTGACTTTTTAAATTTTTTTTTTTAAATACCAGTGCATGACTGAACAGAAGATATTGGTCAGGATCTGTTTTGAACAGAGCAGTTGATTACTGTGCTCCTTCCATGACTACAAAAAAAAATAGAAACCAAAAAACCGAACGAAAACAAACAAAGAGTTCATTTTTTTTGGCAAAATTTGGCAGCGTTGAAAATGGTAACAGCCTTGGACGAATGTTGGCCCTTTTTTATTCTTTTACATGTTCCTAAAAAGATTAAAGAGCAACATTAAAAATCCAGTCTTTTTTTAGTTTAGGGGTTTTTTTTGTGTGTGGTTTTGTTTGTTTGTGTTTTTTGTTTGTTTGTGGTTTTTTTTTTAATAAAGACCTACAGTGTTAGGCAGGTGCTTGCAGGGGTACCGGGAACCACCTGGCCTGCGATATCTTTGATCTGATAAAAGTGCTGTACGGTTGAACTTGCACGCAGATATGTTTCCCATTATGAAGCAAAAAGAGAGACAGAAAGAAAGAGAAAGAAGAGAGAGGAGAGAAGAGAGAGAGACATCAGATCTCAAGTTTTCTGTTGCTATTAAGTGTTAACATTAAGAGTTTTAAAAGGCCAACTGTGTGCCCCATGACTGGAGTCCTTGACTGAAACAAACATCTGCTTGCATATTGAAAAAAAAAAGAAAAAGACGGTAACTTGTTTACTGAAAAAAGGGTTCTCCCAAGTGCAGCTATGGCAGTTCTGAAGATCCACTGAGGTACAGTAGGCTTTTGAATATATTGTGATTTTCTTTCTTTCTTCCCCCAATGCCTGTGTTTGTGTGTGTTTTGTTTCTGTGGGGCTCCGAGGATCAGCAGGCCGAGGACTGGGGCAGCGGCAGGGCCCTCTCGTTCTTGCGGCCCCCGTTCATGTGCGCGTACGGCTGTCGCTCCTCGAAGCTGGCCCGCAGCACCACCACGCCAGGGCCGTTCTCGGCCTTGTGTCCTGAGTGCTTGTCAGTGGGTTGCAGGGTGGAGGAGGGGTCTAAAGGAATGCTCTCCATGTTTTCAGTCTCCAGGTCAAGCTCCTCTGTGTCCGGAGGCTTGTTCTCTTCACTGTAGAAGAAGGAGACCTCTTTGAAGGCTGGGTCCAGCTCGTCTTTGATGCTACCAATGATTTCCAGGAAGGAGGGTCTCATTTTGGGGTTGTACTGCCAGCACATGCGCATCAGCTCGAACCTGGGCAGGGAACACACAGGAGAAACATTTACTGAGGTGTTTTAGAGCCATGACTGGGTCAGACCACGCACTTTAGAGAATCATTCCATCCCGAGGGAAGCCAAAGGGACAGAACTTTCACAGGCCGAGATCCCGGGGCTGTGGGTTCAATACCCATAACCAGCCTTTACTTAAGAGTTGGACTTGATGATCCTGGTGGGTCCCCTCCAACTCACAATATGCTGTGAATGTGTCACATTTCCACCTTCCTTCTCATCACTCATTTACTCCCATACCTCCCACCTCACCTTTTCCGATCCCTCCCACACACCTGCCCACACCTCATGTCTCATGGGTACCCATGAGACATCCAGAACCATTTCATATTTTTATTCTGACTTGGCATTTCTCTTTTTCCTCTAAATTACCCTGTGCTTACTCAGCCATAAGCTACATGATTGTAGATACTCTTGGAGTATCTTTTCAAACAACTCATCCCACCCCATCAGTACCGACTTAGAAAAAAGTTAAACTAGGAAATACAAGCAAGGTAAAGCACTGCCTTCTTCCCCTGAAAGAAGAAAATTACATTAAAATTAATTGCAATCCCCAATGGACATTTGCCAATCTCAAAGACCGTCTCTAATATTTTTATTTTAAAATTAGGTTGTTTTCATTTATGGCCAGGGATGCATTAATATTTTACTGAGTGTGAGATCATCTGTTTAAGCACATCCATGATTAGATCTGTACAATGTCCCATGCTGGCAAAACAAAACCACAAAATGAAACAGTAATACAGCCATAATGAAAACAGCATTTTCATGACACAGCAAAATTGGATATTCCCAGGAGATCGCCCTGAGCTTTAAACATAACACAAGAAAGGATTTCACTGTCTGTGAAGGTGGAATAGGGATGTCTTCTGCTAACACAGTGCAGTAATAGGACAAATTTAAATAAGAAAAGGAAGATTAGCATTAATTCTCCTAGCCAATCCTCTGTGTACACAGTGCTCAGAGGAACACGCTGTGTGGAGGAAGTCACTGCTGGCCAAAACTACTACTCTGTGCTAGAGTAAGAATGGATCTAAAAATAAAATAAAGCCAAGAAAGATTAGTTAAGGTAATGCACATCTCTGACTCACCTGCCAGCACTGGGACATGCAGCCCCAGTCAGACCCTCTTGGCTTGCTGGGGTTTATTTCCCACCTCTGCCAGCCTTCTCTTAAGCCAGGTCACCTAAACTTTTAGCTTTAATTTTAGAGAACACCACCATATTTCCAACTGCCACAGATTTTCGGAGCTCAAACGAGCAATTCTATTTCATCTTTTCATTAGCTCTCACTGCCTTGTGCCTTCAGTTTACCAGATCTCTGCATCAGTGTGGAATGACTTTATTTTAAATTATATAGAAACAAACAAACAACAACAAAAAAATGTCACTCTCTTTGTACAGGACTTCAGACTAATGTCTGTGCTCTAGAACAACCCTTCCAACAGGGCTGACACTGAGCTGGAGAACCCTGCGCTCTACAGGGTTAGGGTTGGCGGCTGTGGAGAGTTTGGAAGCCCTGGCCTGAAACAAAACCCCAGCAAAGAAAGCCCCTGCCCAGAAACTCAGGAAATTAGGCAATACTGTTGCACCTCCAGTGTGTTCTCAGCTGAAGTGAACCAGCAGAGAGGGCAAGTGGCTGTGTTTGGGCTGCAAACACTGCTGAGTGCTTCAACCAAACCCAAAGCAATCTTCACTGAAGTGCATCTGAAGTGCCCAATATCCCTGCCAGAGCTCCACTGGCACTGCTCCGTGTGAACAAACGTCAGCCACCTGAGAATGGCCTTGTGACACCCAACAAGAGCTGGCAAAACCAGTCTGTGCTGGGAGAACTCCCCGGGTACTCAATGCTGCATTGTAACCGCACGTAGACACGTAAACACTGCCCAACTCCTGCTTGTTTTTGAGTCTGTGGAAAGCCTTTCAGAGCAAAAGCAAAGCCAGACTATAAAACTGCACCGTACCCTCACCCACAAGCGGTGAGGAAAGCTTGAGACATAAATATATAAAATCCATTTCTGTTACTTCATTGCTGTTTCCCTTCCAGCTGACTGCTGTGTCCCTGAATAGAAGCTTGGCTGGAGCCAGGAACTCTGGATATTCGCTGGCTCTGCGCCCCGAGGCCTAAGGGCAATGCTAAGGAGATACCACAAGCAGCGGAGTAATGCATGTGACATCAGCACAAACAAGGACATGTGATGTTTCTTTTAAGCCATTCCAGATTTAAAAACCCTACAGAGTTCCCATAAAAGGATTTTTTTTCCTTTTTAACTCTGTGTGTTCGCAGGCCTTGTTTACATTATCTTAAACAAAATAAAAACCTTTCCAATAGACAATGGAGGAATTTACAGGCTGTTAATACAACCTGAGCAGATTTATAAAGTACGTTCCTGACTGGTGGCAAGTGAACTCCAGGGAGCTGGAGGCACCACCATGGGTTAGGGGAATAGCCAGCTTCCCACTGTGCATCTTTTGCTCAAGCAACTGAGCAGAAACCGAGTTCTGTTTTGCACTGAGACAATTAAAAAAACAACAGAAAATGGTAAGTTCCTATAGAAGCTGCATTCCATTTGTGCTTTGCAATGCACTTGATTTGGTGGGGAAAAGCAAAAGGACCTCGCCTCCCCTGCTGGTGCCGTGTGCTGCCAGTGCCTCTGCAGAGCAGACCCCGGGTTCTAAGCAGGAACAAAGGGAAATCAGCACTGCGTAAATAGTCTACAACGCATGTGGGGGAAGCAATCCTGCTTCAAAAACAGAGTGGAATTCCAGCCTCCACAACTTTTAAAAGCCCCATGGGAACACACTGTCTGAGAGCTTCAGCTGTACCAAAGCTCGGTGCCACGCAGCCGTCACCTGATGAGCAGTGCCATAACAATGGGAGGACATAAAAACATCACTGAGTGCACAGGAAGAGGAGAAAAACAGCAAAGCTTCTCCTGGCACCGTCTTACTGAACCATCTGTCTTATTGCATGGTTCTGTCTGCAGAGCCACGCGAGCTATGCCAAGAGGGTGTAGCATAAACACAACTGAGGCTTGTTTCACCCTGTACAAGAGTAAAGAGCCTCCAGAAATACCCTTCCCTTTGTGCTTTACCCTTTCCACAGGGATTCACCACCTCCCAGCCACAGGACAACCCCCTCTAGAATCCCCCTTTTCCCAAGCATCCTCTCCACACCGTAGAACAGGACCTCTCCAGCTCCACCTAAAAGCTACTGACCCTCTGCTGCCGGGATTAGGGGAGCACAGGCACTGACAAGCACAGCAGGGATGGAGACACAGAGTGTCCCAGCCTGCCTGAACCCTGCAGAATTCATGGAGGGGAACACGAGGTCCTGAGGGGAGTTCCTGCACCATGGCTGGAGGGTGCAGGGCTGTGTCAACATCACATCACCCGCACGGCTAAAAATAGCAGATTTGGTGACAGCAAGATTCTTCTCTCTATTCTCATCTGCACTTCCCCACAGCAGTTACCTCCTCCACCTGTTCTGGAGGTTTCTCTCTGTCAGCACACTCCCCTCTCTCCAAAGCCAGGTCCACTGATGTTTTGACCAGAACTTCAGTTGCTTCCAAGTCAAAGTAATTTAAAGAACAAAGTCCTGTGAGCCACAGGAGCACAGAGCTCCCCTTCTCACCTGCTTGCAGGCAGCACCAAGCTCAAGTGGCCTCCCTGCAGCCTGGCTTTGCTTTTGGGACATTTTGAGTTAATATGAGGAGTCAATACTAAAGTGTCACAGACCAGTCTCCACGAGGCTAAGATCCAGGTGCAATTTCAGGGCTCTTAGATACTGTTAGAAACACTCTTCTGCCCATGTCCTAATTTTCCTGTAGGTCCCCAGCTGTGAAGGAGGTTACTGGGTCCTGGAGAGGACCTCTGCCTACAGAGCAGGTCTGACCCTGCCAGCAGTGTGTGGGTGAGGACTGGGAGCAGTGGGGAGCTCACTGAGGGTGGCACAGCCCTGTCACAGCATCCTGGGCAGGGAAAGAAGTGAAAACATGCAAAGAATAAAGCACCACAGGAACTTAAGAGGTTTTCTGATTGCCAAGTGCATGTGCAGGGAACAAAGGTGAAAGTTACTCCTGGAGCTCCCCACTGTTATTCCTACAACAGCCTATTTGAATTTCAGCAGATTTGGGCGTCTGTACTAAAACAAAGACAAAACAAGCTGAAAGGGAGCAAAAGCAAGTCACAGTAAGGTCATACTTTTTTTTTTTTCCTTTTTACATTTGGGATAAAGCCAAGGTGTTTTATCCTCAACTTTATCACTAAAAAAAAAACAAACCAAAAAATCACCACTAATGTGCCTTAGGTCTAAGTTCAGCCTCATTCCTTTTTCTGACAGAGCAAAGCAGCACAATTCAAAGGCAGATTTTTTTTATTCTGCACCTCTGCACTGTCAGGCTGAATCCTGCTGGGCAGAACCAACGTGTGAACAACTTCTCCATGTGGAGTAGCACAAGAAAGGTCTTGGCTGTTACACACTGGTGCAAAGATCTGCTCTGCCAGACTTTAACCAAGTTCTCCCAGCTCACAAGCCAGGACCTTGAAAGTGGATTCATCCAGTAGCAACAGCCCTGGAGCAGAGGAGATTCCCTGAGGAGGGGGAGGAAGGAGAACTGGGTGGGCTGCAGCAGAGACAACTTCTGGCTTGACTCCCCTCCCATCCCTGCTCAAACCACACAAGCCCCAGCTTAACAGGGAATTTCTTATGCTGGATCTCTCCCCAGTGAGTTTGTTCTCACTGCAGAGGTGCTTTCCCTGTGAAGCCAGGGAGCTGAACCCGTCACATCCCCGTTCTTCTCCATTTGTGCCCACCCCCACTGCACAGCTCTGGCCGTGTTAAACAATGTCCAGTCAATCCGACTGCCAGGAATTCTCCACAGCATCTCGAAAGGGAAGGAATGTGAAACCAAGGAATCACATGGCAGCTACACCTCCCCCTGCATATACCACCCACCCCCCTCAAACAACAAAACAACACTGCCTGTCATCTGAAACCACAGCCAGGCTCCAGCCAAAAAAGCTATTTTCCTAAGAATTCCAAGCAGCTGAGGCCCTTAAGTGATTGTATCCCTTCTGTGGGCCTCCAACAAATTTCAATAACTGCAAGACGCAGTATTTCCTTCCCAAAAGTCAGTTTGGGAAGTATATCAAAGCAATAAAGTCTGAACAACTGAAACTGCTGTACACAAAGGCCAGCAGAAGTATTTCAACAATGTAAAGCTAAAAACTGAAGCTGCTGCACTGCACACCCTCTGCTGCTGCAAGGCTTTGGGTCGATCCTGGGGCAGGGAGAGGTTTTTTCTGTGGAAAACTTGACCCTGTGCTTGCAGGGAAGGAAACTGTTAGCAGGGGGGATTTGTTTATCTCAATGGGACAAGTGCTGTGACTCAAACTGCAGATATAACCCAGCTTCAGACACATTGATTTATCTGTGTGCTGAACTAAAAAGTTGAATTCCAGTGTTTACACACATTTCAGCTTGTCCCATGCTCTTTTCTCTCTTTATGCTCAACAGAATTGCTTTAAGCAGAAGAGATATGATTTAGGCACAGAGCCTCCTGATGTAGCAAATGTCACTTACAAAGTGACATTTTTATTAAGCCTAATTTTATTCAGTAACACAAAGCTTGGATTTTGTTTGCTTATTAGAGAAGATAGCCCGAGGTGAGATTCTGGCCACAAGCAAAGTTGTTTTCTGGAATGTCTCAGTATCATCAAATAGTGGATTGACAGAGACTGTTTGAGCAGCCCCTCCTGTGGTGGCTGGCAAGAGCAGACCCTGCAGGGGTCAGGAGGCACAAGCTGTGCCTGCAGGGCAGTGGTGGCACTTACAGCATGTCGGGACAATTGTCTGGCTTTTCCAGCAGCCCCCCTTCCATGACGAAGCGCAGCACCTGCTCGTTGGTCATGCCCTGGTACGGCTGCTCCGCCAGCGTCGCGATCTCCCACAGCACCACTCCGAAGGACCTGCAGGGAACATCACAGTGTTAGGGCTCCCAGCCATCTTTACAAGGGTGTATTTCTTACAAGATGCTGAGTGCTGGGTCTCCATGGGTATTTTCTAGATGTACATGGGTATTTTGTTTTTTCCAAAGAATTCCAGTTGCTCAAAAAGCACGTGCCTGTGGTGACAGTCACAACCCCTCCCTCCCTCAAGAGACTGCTGACTTCAAACACCTCCACTCTAGTGAGCAAAGGGCTCAGGTGAGAATAACTCAGCTATCCCTTTGTGACATGCATGTAACTATGTTCTTGAAACAGAGCTTCCAGCTCCTTCCAGATAACTACAAAGCACAGCAGAAGTGAAAAAAGTAGTTCGTCTAATAATAGGAATTGATTACTGGCAAAGGAAGATAAGCATAGTTATGTAATTGGGTAGTTTGGACGTAAGTATTGACACTTTCTAAAAATACCTCCATTTAAAATTAGATTATTGAGCAGACACAGCTCAAATTGTCTGTCCTGCAATGAAGAGTCAACTACTTTTAGAGCTGCTGGTCAAAGAAGGAAAATTTTGATGTTGTCTGACTTCTGTGGTAAAATGCTGAGTCAAGCTGAGTGAAAAACACACAGTTCCACTGGGGGGGTGTTATGAAAACAAGGAGTCCAGTGTCATTAGCTGGTTATGGCCCAGTGGTTTTGTCTTTCAGCTATCCCTGGGATCTAAACTGGTTTGCATCTGGAGCCAGAAGCCACAAACTGCCTTGCAATTGTTTTCCTTTTAGGGGAGGGAGGGACAGGGGGTCAACTCAACATTTGAGTGCCTTTGAAGCTTCTTTGATCATGGCAGGGATAACAAGGACAAGTCTTGCACACCTACTCTTCAGATTATCCTAGCAAATAAACTCTGGTTGCTCCTTCCAGGCAACTACCAGCTCTGAAAGAATGCAAGATGCTGAGGATTTATTTATAGAAATCCACCCTCACCATGAACAGTACTCCATTAATTTTAAAATGTCCTCCCTTCCCTAACTACAACAAAAACAGCCCTGTCTAATTACCTCATTCTTCAGCCTGAAAAGCAATAAAAGAATGAGTTGCTAAAATAAAGCTCCACCCTTCAAACCTCCAGACACTCTTCCTTCCTGCAGTTGCCATTTCACCTTACAGCTTATAAATCCTGGACTCCAAACACTCAACAGGGTTTTGTCTTTTTGACATCTTGGCTTCTAAAACTGATCTCGAAGAACATGGGACTACATGTCACAATATCTGCCCAGAAGGACAGGAAAAAACAATCTCAACCTTTTGTTTACTGTTTGATGCAAATAAATGGCCCCCAAAACAGCCAAGTTCCACAGTTTACACTGAGCAACTTCAAATCTGGACCAATAAAAGGATTCAGGGAATTTTTCCAGCCATGAAGAGACCTCCAATGTATAGTGCCTGGTGTAAAAGTCACTGAGAAAGACTGATCCTTTTAGCCATAAGCAGATCAAGGAAACAGACATTAGTCTATAGTATTTCATGACATAGAAATAGTATTTCATGATAGTGTTAAGTCAAGTTCCACTACATTTGGAATTTAGATTGAAATTTCTCTGTAGCTGTGGATACATGTTCTAAACAAACAGCAAATTTCTCATGTTGAGCCCGTTTTTTTGTGCCTCCAGACAAGTACACCCCTGTGAACCAAATTTCAAGAGTAAATCACTTCCAACAATTAAGATGCCAAACCATCCCAAGGAGAACCTCTCTGAAATACCCATGAGTACTGTGAGCCTCCTCTTCATAAAACACTTTTTTTCCTCTCTATGCTTACAAGTAAAAATCTGCTCCTCCTCTTCAGCTTTCCAATCCTGTAATCACTAAACTACTTTCCACGCCAGGATATTCACTCAGATTGTCCCACCAATGAACTGCAATACTGTTTGCACAATCCTACTTTTGGACTGAGCAACCAACAAATGCCTAATCATGAAATCCCAGGATGGTTTGGGCTGGAAGGGGCCTTAAAGCCCATCTTGTTCCACCTCCTGCCATGGGCAGGGATACCTTCTCCTATCCCAGGCTGCTCCAAGGCCCATCCAATCTGGCCTTGGACCTTCCAGGGATGGAGCAGCCACAGCTTCTCTCTGGGCACCCTGTGCCAGGGCTTCACCACCCTCACAGGGAAGAATTCCTTCCTAATATTCAATCTAAACCTCCTCTCTTCCTTGCTAGGGAAACACACGTGCACTTCCTGTAACAACTACAGCACTAATTTACATCTGACACCTTATTTGGCATCACACCTAGGGGTTTTTTGTTTGGAATTTGAGTTATATTTAAAGAATAACATCACTTAAGAGTCGCAGGCTAAAAGAAAGCATGAGTGGAACACAGATGGGACATCCCCACTGCTCACCCTGAGCTGCTCTGAACCCTTTTGGAGGCAATGGCTGGACATGAAAATTCCTGTTGTGTGGCAAGAACAGACAGCCCTGCCAATTCCTCACTCCAGGCTTGGTCAGTCCTACATCTGGGGATTTTCTAGTGATATAGTCCAAATTTCTGTCTGCTTTGTGAAGCCATTACAAGTCCCAAAATTCTTTTACTGGGGGGACTGCCAAAAGCATGCCTGTACTGTTCCATCAGATAAATGGCTGATACGGGGCTTCCCTTCGACTCAATGTGGTTGTTTTCATCTGCTTCCAAGTCTGAGAGTTACTGGATTCAAAAGAAAGTTACTAGCCATATGTAAAATAAAATTTAAGCATCATTCTGGTGCTTTGCTCTTTCACTTTAATTCCTCTTAGGAACTTCTTGTTCAGAGCTGGTGCTGTGAACTAGAGACCACTGACTCCAAACTCCTCAAGCTGCTCAAAGAAAATGCAGTTTACTCCGAAAACATCATTCCTACTGACTACTAGACATTTGGAGGCAATCAGCTGCCAATTCTGTAACAGATCAGCAGTAAAAACATCTTGTTAGGAATAAAAGACAGGAGAGGTTTTGCCAGTACACAACCATCCTCTGCCAAGTCCTCCCTACCTATCTCAAAAGCTGGGGGGTGTGTGGGAAATAGTTCCAGGGGATTAATTCTCCTAAGTACACGCCTCTATTAATAACTGCACAGATACAGCAAGCATGCAGTGTCCTTTGAAAGAAAACCCTATTTCTGCATCTTGCAGTATATAAAACAAGCAAACAAAGCTCCAAATGGAGAGGGATATGCACAAGGGACAACTCCCCCAAAAAGCCTGTGAGTGTATACAACCCATCTGGGGGAAAGTGATGTTATTTACACAGAAGGTTTTGATGGAAAAGCAGGTCAGCACTAGGAACCTTTCTATATTCTTGGCAACTTTAAATGCTTTTCCTGAAGGAGGACAATTTAAAAAATGACAACTTGCTCTTCCAGATGAAGGTAATGTTTTTCACTGCACAACTGATTTTACAACGAACAGTGGGAAACATACTGCCACCTCTGGTTTTAGAATCCATTTAATTCTGCTCTCCCTGAGAGCAAAATTTAACCTCACGAGTTCTTGCTGAAACATGAACCCATGGAAGAACCCAGCTACCTTTGAACGGACAGGAGAAGCAGTACACTTGGTTAAGTCTACTAAAACAAGAAGAGAGGCTAGAAAGGAAGAGGTTAAAGCCATTTTTCAGAGCCTTTTTGTTACCAGACATCGGAGTGTGTTGTGAAGACTCCATCTTTCAGCGACTCCGGGGACATCCAGCGGACAGGCAGCAAGCCCTTCCCTCCTTTCCGGTAATAATCTGTCTCGTAGATATCTCTCGTCATGCCAAAATCTAGAAGGTAGAAATACTCTGAGTTTGTGTGAGAAAATGACAAACATTTCCCCTTCCTACAAGGCAGAGAATCACACTTGGATGTGAGGAATCTGTGCTGTGCTCCCACGACACTTGACTTTGCAGATACTTCAGCTGCTGCCTCGGGGCTGGTGACCTTCCCTCCCAACACCAACAGACTGTGCCACTGACATCAGGGGTGACAAGTCTGAATGGTTTAAATATAGGAATATGAAAACTTCCAGCATTTATGCTCAAGTTTTGCAGTAAGATGAGTCTTCTGAAGGTCAAATAATTTACTAGTTGTTCCCCAAACTCAGTGATTTTCTTTTTTTTTATAAGGAGTGTAAGGAGCTCCTTTAGTACTTACAACTGTTTAATCTGATTCTGTTTAATCAATCTCACATGCTGACAGAAATACTTGTCTTTGTTTTCTTTTTCCTATTTCCAAAGGAAATTCGCAGCTTCTGTACAATATTCCATTTCAAGTGCTACAGAGGATTATGCTGTTCATTTGTGATCAACACACCCAAATATTAAAGACATACTTCCGGTTTGTATCCATGCTTAGCTGTAAATTCATAAGCATTTGCAAGACTTGGATCTAAAAATGTTCATCCCCGTGACTGCAACCCAGATTTATTCCAGTGTATTTTCTCTACAATCAGCCTGAGACAGAACTGCTGGGTCTCACACTTGCCTATTGAAACCAGTTACTGTGCTCTCAGACACCAACCAAAATGTTAATAAATTAGAGGTCAGCAGTCCTCTGACTGGTATTAAATGCTGTCTGATGACACACAGGGCAAAATCCATTTTACCAACACAGACCTGTAATTGCCCCCTTTTTTTCCCCCTGGGAAATGTGTACAGAACTCCCCCAGCTCTCTCAGTTATCACCAGTCAGTGGTGAGTGACCAACCAGGCGTACCAGGGACACCGGCACCCTCGGCGATTATGACTAAAAAGCCCATCTGTGCAGCTCTTCCATCACTCCCACACACCAGGGTGATTTTATCCTGGCTGAATGGAAGATTCTTTCAAAATGTAATGCAAATAAGAAACAGACATGCAGTGAGCACAGGGTAGTGTGGCATAAAGCTCTTCCTCTGAGATCTGAACAGTCTGAGTTGGCGTGTTCCAGCCAAGATGCTCCTGAACTGTTTCTGCATGAAGGGATTTTCAATGCTGCTACATAAACAAGAGCAGTGCAGCACATTTACAAAATGCTTTTGGGGTAACCATGAACACGCTAAAGGGAAGAAATGCACCATATCTTCAGTTTACAGAATTGTAAAACAAGCTGATGGGGGCAGGAGGAGAAAACTGGAATGGGAAGGATTTAGGCTGACTTCCCACGAACCTGCAGAAAATACACAAAATCCCCAAAAGATCTTATTTCCTAATTAACTGACTCAAAATGAAATCATTTTTTCTTTCTCCCAAATGACAGGATTACTTACACAAATTATCAAAATAGCTGAGTTAAGCTCAGAGAAAAAGAATTAGTTTCCTACAGCAGAAGGCTGTTGCTATACACGTTATTTTAATATGCACAACTCAAAAACAGCCAACAGCTTAAAATCACTCTCTCTGGAGACAAGACTGAAAAAACTCATCTGACACTATTTTGGAGGGATGGTGAAAGGAAAAAAAAATTGGTGATCTAACAGCAGAGCAGAAGAAAAGCCATTCAGCTGTCTGGGAAGCAGAACTCCAGTTTAGACTGGAAAGCACCCAGCTGAAGTCATTCCTCTTCCAACTCAGATATGATTTAAAATAATCCTAAAATTCTCATTCTTGAATCAATAAACAGGAGGTAGAATTATTTTTGTGCATTAACAGAGACATGAATGATACACCAGTGATAACTACACCATCTACCCAGATGTCTGCACTACCTGAACCTACCTCACTTCCTCACCAGCTCTTTTTAAACCCACATGCTGTACTGTTGCCTCACTGGACCAACAGCAAGCAGAGGTATTCCAGAGGTTTCAGCTCAGTGTTAACTGCTCACAGGTCTTAAATCACAGCAAGTCTTCACAAGGAACCTATTTCATTCTGCAGATATTTAAGCTAGAGCTCAGCTTTAAAAATAAATAAATAAATAGAGAGAAAGCCTTCTAGGATACTGATTTTCCAGGATGATTCTATGACCTGTGCAAGGGTCAGGAGAGCCCACCTCCAATTTTGACTGTGAAGTCCTCGGCCACCATGCAGTTCCTGGCGGCGAGGTCCCTGTGCACGAACTTGTTGGCGTTGAGATAGGCCATGCCGTCAGCGATCTCTCCCGCCATCTGGATCATCTTCTTCAGGGTCGGGGGTGCCTGCCCAGGGTTGTTCTGAGCAAGATGAAGATCAAACAATTAACAGACCACATCCATCCTCTTGTGCACATACTCAGTTCTGTCCCTTTAATGTATCCACACTGGAATTTCTAGATCAAGGGCAAAAGCTGCTGAGCTCATTTTCTACATAGGCTGCTGTGATTCAGGGGCAAGTGACCTGTGTGTCATCTTTGTCCTTCAGACCCTCTATCTATCATATGTGACAATTTTAGCTGTCAGACTGATGGCCTATGCATGAGAGTTTGCACAGGAGCTAAGATAACAGATATTTACTTTCCAGCAGGGGCAATGGGCAGGACACACAACATGAAACAATTATCCTAACATGTGTTCTTAAACCAGCCAATTTCTGTAACATCTTGATGAGAAAGTGTATCAGACAAGAGATCTAATGCAAATCTGGGAAAGAGGACACAGTGACACAAGAAGGGACCTATTCCATGTGGCACTCTGGGCTGCCTCATGAAAGAGCTGCTGGAGATCACACAACAGCTCATGTTTTGTCCTTAGACTGAAGGAGAAGGGCAGGAAAGGCTAATTGCCTGCTGCTTCCAACGTGAGGCTGTCTTGTTCAAGATGATTCAAACTGAAGAAATAAACCTCCAGCAACTCATGACTCACCTCTGTGTCTGGCCTCAATGATCTCAGGTAACTTTTGAGGTCCCCACGTGTCATCAGCTCCATGATTACCAGTGTAGGCTGGCCCTGAGAAACAACACCAAGCAGCCGAACCTGGCAGAGGAAAAACAAATGTTCAGTACAAGTATGCAAGTACAGCTAATTATCATTTATTCATGTTGATATGTAGCCCTGTGGGAAAGGTCTGAATGTAGATTTGGTTCCACTTTCTGACTGGGGTTTCACAATAGTACTACAAAGCTGCGCAGAGTTGAAGTTAAAATCTCAATTTCTCACTTCAGGCAGGGCAGACATGCCCAGAACAGCCTCGTGTCAATGAGCACCAGGGCTGGATGAGTCACAGCCTCGTCACATCCTCAGCACTCACCACATGGTGACAGTTGAACTCCTTCATCACCGAGGCCTCGTTCAGGAACTCGATCCTCTCACGCATGCTCGCAGACTCATTGACGGTCTTGATGGCCACCCTGGTCTCTGGCTCATCCTTCACCACTCCCTTGGCTATTCCCTCATACACCATTCCAAAGGAGCCTTGCCCAAGCTCCCGACACATGGTGATCTTCTCCCGGGGCACCTCCCACTCGTCTGGAACGTACACTGAGGGGAGAGAGAACAGGCCCTGATGTTCCACTGCTGCCCGTGCTGGGAGCGCTCCCTGCTCCATGACAGCAACTGCCCCACCAGTTCTGCTGTTCCAACCCCACACAGAATGCTGAGACCTTGCACCACGTGTGCCATCAGGCCAGGGTCTGTCCCATACTGACACAGGGGGATGATGGCATACAAATAAATCTGAAAGAAAGGTGAACCTGAAGTGGCCTCACTATGGTACTGACATATTGGGATAGAAATAAGGAACCTCAAAGCACAAAACCCGTGTGGGAAGAGGCTCAAATCAATGCTTTGGGTTAAATCTTTTCTTGGAATCCTTGCTCTCCTAATTCTCCCAGACAGCATCAAACGTACTTGATCATCTGTATCAGTTTAGTGTCTGCTGTATTCTCTATTAACACTGATTTCATGGCTAGAGGGAAGCAGACTCTGATCCAGCAGTTCTTTGCATGGCATTATTCTGATCCCTTGCACAGACACCGTTGCACCAGCAAAGGCAGAACTTGCTGCTGCTGCTGCTACAGGTCTTTGATCTGAGGTAGAAGAGAGCTCTCAGAAGGTGACTGCCAGGAGGCAGGACTGCCTCAGGCAAGAAGACATCCAAGTACTCACTGATGCTGCTGCCTATCAATCACCAAAGGAGGGGACAGTTGTGTCACATGCTCTGCATAGGTGAAAGGACAGGATGAAAATAGAGGATTGTAGCATGAACAGTGACAGACCTTTAACCTTAATGGTGTTGCTATAAAAAAATAACAGTAAAATAGTCTGCTGCCACTCTGGGTAAAGCCATTAGTCTCCTGGGGGGCCTTTGGAAATACTATTCCAGCAAGAAATCTGTAACAGCAACACCAGACTAAACCACAAACAGAAAAACTGAGGTCTCAAGGACATTTGTCTGATGTTGTGATTTCTTCAAGTCATGAGTTTGTTTCAATAGGGCAAAACTGAGCTTACAAGGGCAAACATGAAAGACCACAAATTCATTCATTCTTCCTTCAGTACAGTCAAAACATCACTGGAAGAGTAGGTGATAATGTGAAAGTGAAGCTAGGGAATCCAAATTTCATGCCTCAGGTGGATAAAATTACAGGAAAAGAATTCAAAAACTCCCCAGTTTCAACAGACAAGTGCCATTTGCATATTGGCAATTCTAGATTCCAGCACAGTCCTAATAAAATTGGGGAAGTGGCTTTACAGCACATCTTTTAGAGTTTCATGCCTTTCAAAGTCATCCACCAACAGAACATAGGACAGTAAAAGCATCACAAGTTAAGGTCACACTCACCGTCTGAGGCACTGAAGTACTCAGGGTTCACAGAAGCATAAAGTACTCCATTGCCCAGTCTGTCACTGTTCCTGTAGAAATATTGGGGTTTATTTCTTTTATCTTTCAATCTGAGTATATTTCAGACCATCTCTCCCACAGCTTTTCCACTGCTTGCTCAACCACAGAATATTATTTACCACATGTGGAGTTTTTCAAAGGGGACAAACTGAGATCTTATCTACGCCATAATCAATGGGAACACAGTCCAGAATACTACGCCATAATCAATGGGAACACAGTCCAGAATAGCTTCTCAGGAATTCTGGAGTCTTCTCTACACCAAATCAGTGCCAGGAAAATGTAAACACAAGGTACTTTTAGCTGCTGAGTAAATTTTTTTTAAGAAAGGCAGCTATATTTTTATACAACCAGGAGACCCGTGGCTGAGAATGCACTTTACCATCATCAGCTCTGCTGTGGGAGTGAAGTTTTTTAGCAAAAGAAAAAACTCTTTCTAGTGGGGGATTCCATTCAACAAAAGAAAAAACTCTTTCTAGTGGGGGATTCCATTCAACTATTTCCTAGGTGTTTCTAATATTTTATTTTAAAACCACACAATGCCACACCCGCCACTTTTACTGGGGTGATTTTCAGAATAAGATGCAATAAATGCACTTTGAGAGCTTTTGCAGGAGACAGGCTCATAGAGAAAATATTCTTGTGTTAGAACAACATTTTAAACAAGGAAAAATTATCAGGAATTTCAGCTAGGAGAGCCTAAGCAAGGCAAAGCAGGTATTGTAATCACCAGAGACAAAGCCCTTTCTGGAGAGCTTGAGCAGAACTGGTACCACTGTCTGCAGTGCTACCAGTGAATTAGAAATCATGGATGCTGGAAATCATGGGATACTCAATGAGCATAATTAATGTGAGGGTAATAAAAAACCTCCATAGCTAGAAAGTTGCGAGACTGAACATTTGTACTGCTATTAAATTCTCGTTGTGTGTTTCAATGACATAAAAAAAATAAATCACTAGTTACAAAAAACAAAATTGAGGAAACCAAATTAACAGAACAGTCCCAATGACAGCTCCCAATGACAGCTCTTAGCCAGGATATAATTTTTTAAGTGGATGTAATGACTTTAAAAAAAACCCTAGAATTTGAAAAAAAAACACATTAATCTAAATAGAACTAACTTTTCATTATTTATATTGACCCATATTTCAGTCAGATCTTCTGATTATACAGGTCCAGTGTGTGCCATCATTGCCCCACGGATATGTTTCTCATGAGCCTTCCTCTTCCCACTCAAACATGATACTGCAATAAAAACCCTCTTTATATCTCCAGCAGCAGCAGCAGCCAGAGGCTGGTAACTCTAAATCATCTCCCTTTCCATACCAACAAGGCAGAATCTACCTCAGCCTCCTGACTCCTCTGAATGTCATTTCTCTTTTTCATTTCTAACTCACTCCATGGGCACAGATTTGAAAATAAACAATTCCCCTCCTGCAGGTTTAAGTACCAGCACACGGAACTCACCTCTTTTTGTTAAAGACGTAGAGCATTATCAGCAATCCCCCAAGGATGAGCAGCAGAGCAATAGGGAGCACAATTACCAAGTGCAGGAAGTTTCCATAGTTTGCTGCTGCAACCAACAAGAAAACAATTGTATCAGGATTTCTATAAAAGCTCTGTTAACAAAGAAACATTCAAAACCCACTCTGTGTATTTCCATACAGGGAACAAATCAAAGTTCTCATTTTCTTGTCTGATGTGGAAAAATGTACTCGGAAAGCCTCCCTGACTGCAGATGAGTGAAACAAGAAAGCAGACACTGAAAGGCATTAATTTTGTACAGAACAGTGTCTGTCTGGGCTTTGTTTTCACAAGTTATGCTTAAAGGACTTGCATTCCTCAGTGAACAATATCCAATTGTTCGCTTGCACATCCACCTTTTTTTCCACCTTTTGTTCACCTTGCAGCTGCTTATATTCAGAATATACATGCACTGCTCTTTACTTCAAATTATTCAAAGGTCAGCAACCAGAAAACCAAAAAGGGATAAAAGACGGAGTTGCAGTTTTCTGGGGATGTATCTGCTCTGCAACTAAACACAGAATGTCTTAAAGAGGGTGTCTGTGGTCATGTTCTTTCAAAATATAAGTGACTCCCATTGTCAGGACCAGCATCACCCTTTCATCAGGACACTTTTTTTAAATCAAATGTCACTCAGAACAGGTCAACCTGCCAGCCAAAAATCTACACAAACTATTTGTTTCTCCAATTATTTTGCAATTTTAAGCAGGTTTTCCTTGTTGCCACAGGTTTTATACATAGCAGCTGCATGTTGTTATAGCTAACATCACATTCCCAACGCAGCTGCACATCCCAGGAAGCTGCAGCAGGATGTTCTCCACACCCACACCTGCCTGTACCTCTCACAGAACCCAAAGCTGCAAGGAAAGGACCAGACCTCTCACATACCACTCCTGGCTGTCTACACTTGCCAAAAAAACGGACCAGAGAAGAGTTCCCAAAGAATCATCAGCAAGACAGTTCAGAGGCAAGAGGCTCAAATTCCCAGTCACATGAACATCAGGAATTATTAAAAAGACAATAAACCCCCAATTCAACACAGCCTGTAAACATTTGTCTTACATTTGGGCTGCACATAGAAAGAGATGGGCTCAGTCCAGGACCCATTCCCAGCCAAGGAAGTGGCCTGAACTCTGGCAGAATAGTTTCCAGGGTTCAGGTGAGTTAGTTTAGCTCCTCCAAGCTTCTTGTATTCCTGTCTGGAAACACATTCTCGCTTCTCCTAGAAGAAAAAAGCAATTTGCACATGTTATTATCTTCACATTCTGAAGAAAGCAATATAGCTGCAGGATAAGCTCATTTTTGTAACTAAAAGCCCCACCTGATCAGTTTTACTTCAAACACCGTAAGGAGATATGTGAAATTTAAGAACTCCAAGGAAATGAAGGAAAGACATGCTGGTAGGTGCTAAGTGTCTGAAATCACAATTTCTGTTTGTGCAGCACTGCACAGAGGCATGTTAAGAAAGATCCAACTTTGTGTATAAATTAAGAATTATGAGCAATAATGTCAAATCCTCACCTCTCCGTGCTGCCCATATTTGATTTCATACATCAGGATCAGCCCATTTGGATTTGCAGGCTCCAACCACTTCAGGTAGACAGTATTTTCCTCTTTTGCTTCCCATGACACTGTTCCTGGAATGTTATCTGCTCCCTCTGTAAAATATTTACAGGTGATGTGAGAAGAACACCTATGACTGGAACAGGAACTTCGGGAAGAGTTGAGGAAAATGGAAGGTTCATGATGTTCTTCAGGTGCAGAGGCTCTGCAGCAAGAGCCATTCAAATCCAGGGAACAAACTGCATGGGCCAAGAGCCTGCTGGAAATTAGCTCAGACTGAACTACTGGTTCCCAGAAAATCAGTGCAGAGCATTCAGCTCCACCAGGAATGGGTTCTGGCTATCAGCACCTGATTCTTCCTTCTCAATTCCCCCTAACACCAAAACAGGGCAGGGATCTATTCCCACCAAAAGGTTGCAAACAGCTGTAAACACATAACATCTGCCCCACTGACATCCTTTTCCTAAAACAGTCATAGGAAATCCATCCCCATTTAAAACAGTCTTTGCAGCAATTCAGGAACTGCTTTATCCCTATTTAGTTCCTAATAGTTTAATGTGACTTAACAAGAATGTGAAGTGTGTTTTCAGTCTGAAAAAATACCACCTTCTCAAAGATAACAGAAGAAAATAGGATTGTTTAGCCTTTTGATTTTCAGAGGCATGTGTTAAAAATCTGGGAACACTTCTTTCCTTTTCCCTGATCTCACAGATTTCCTTATTTCCTTGAAATAAGCGATACTTTTTGCTTTTTTTACTGACACAGCTGGATCTGGATTATGATAGCCCTTCCTTTCAGAAACAAAACAAAATTGCTACCATTTTGCATCCAATATCCCCAGACATCTGCTGGAGTCAGAAGCTCATTGCTGGATGCATATGAGCTTACACTAAAATCATCTCTATTCTTCTCAGAAGTACAATCTGCAAAAGTCCCAAAGACGAGCATAGCATTCAATGCTTCCTATATGAAGTAGTCTAGAGGCCAGGGATTGGGCACAAAGAAACACAGTATTCCTCCTGTTCCCAGGCTGGACAAATGCATGGTCGTTCTGTGACAGAATAAACATTTGGCAAACATTCCCACCAGCAAAACTCCAACATCTGCAAACAGTTCCGAGTGAACACAGCAAAACCAAACATTAGCAAAGAAATGTTGCCGTGGATCTATTCAGCACACAGGGAGCTGAGGAACAAAACTTTCAGCCCACCATGTATGTCTGGGGGTCTCATTTCTATTGCTGGGAAACAGAGTCTCTCCTAATTATCCTGGCAGTCAACTTGTCCCTTTCTCCAGCTCCCAGCATAGACTCAAACACATCTCTTGGTACACACAACACCAGTCAAAGACATGGAACAAAAAAATCTATGCAGCTCCAATTTATCCTACTGCATGGAATTTTTTTTACTAAACCCCAATGTAATTCTAAGTGGTTTGGGAGAGCTTGTCCCCCTTGGGCTTGATTTGTGCCCAGTAAAGGCAGAGCTGGCCCCATGTGAGCATACCTGAGGGCATTGTCCTGGCAAACACGAAGTTGGATGCGCTGCAGCCGAGCGTGTCGGCCTCGTGGTTGCAGCTGTGAATATCGATGCGGTAAAGAGTGAAAGGCAGGAGATGGGAGATGACAGTTCTCTCCTTGCCATCCACCTTGGTCTCAAAGAAGGGATATTCCACCTCGCTCTCCTCCGTGTCAGAGGCGTTGGTGAAGTGATCGGTCCCAGTTGTGTTCCTGTTCCGAGTAGCCAAGGTGGTGTTGGCGATTCGGAACACGTCCCTCCGCTTCCGGTCGGGCCTGAAGAGCAGACACAGATAAAGGAAAGGGCTCTTTAGAGAAAATCCACTTCTTCTCCAGCTCTGGAAAACTTTGCTAAACACCCCAATGAAACAGGCAACAGCTAATAGAATAGCTAAATAAAGGAAACTGCAAAACAAGAGGAAAATTTTCTCTAAATCTGGACCTGCCAGGTGTCAGCACATCTCATTTCTCTCTCTTTTGGTCAGGAACCAACCAAAACTCTGAAGCTCACACTGAGCCCCAGGATGAATGTGCTAACTTCTGACTTCACACAATAAACCAACCAGCAAAGAACAGCTTCACCGTTACTCAATAAGCATCCTGGATTTGTGTTTCATTACAGTAACGCTGACACTTACAATAAAAATCAGATGCTAAAGGTTGAAAGGGTTAGGGGGGGAAAAACCATTATAAAGTTTGCTGGATTAGCAAAGGAAGCTGAGCCTACTGAGAGTTAGCTTTGCAGTTGTGATGTAATTAGAATGTATTGCAATGAGAGGAGAAACCTTGGAAGGCAGCTGAAGGCCATGAAGGCTCAACACCACTCGGGTGGTCATCTGTGTATCTCTGCTTCTCTCACCCAAACAAAAGCTCTGCAAAGGAACAATCCTATGGAAGAAAACTCAGCACTAATATTGTGTAGAGGCAAAAGTTCAATGAGCACCTTTGCCTTTCAGGCGTCTGGGTGAAATTCAAGCAGAGATAGAAAGCTGAGGATTTACAGCCACACCATTGCTTTCTCAAGCCCGGGGAACTGCTGTAGTGGACAGCCCAAAGTGAAAGGACAAGGATCAAGATACTCTTAGAACCACATGGGTCAAGTAAGCAACACACTGTGGCCACACCCTGGACCTATCCCTCGGTCCTGCCCCAGGCCTGAGGCTGTTCTGCACAGGAGCACCAACTACACAGGGCAGTCTGGATTTACTGCTCCCGCTCCCTTGTCTCCAAAGGCTGCAGGAATGCTCATGCCCAGAAAGCAACGCCACAGGGGAGGTAAAGGACAAAGAGTCACACTACAAAACCAATTTGGGCTTGAATCCTGTCCCTGAAATCACTTCACCAATGCCCATGAGCACCTGGCCAGTGCAACAGGTACCAAGGGCATGAGGTCCAACAGCTCTACCAGAGAGCAAGTTACAAACCAGGCAAATGAGGCCTCCCTCGAACACACAACAGGAAGAAAGATGACTCAACAGGACAACTTAATTCACTGTCAAATATATCATCTGAGTACATGCAGCCACAGAGCAGCATGCTGCAGAGAGAGCCAAGAACAGGCTCACTCAGTTTTGAAACCTTCTGGCAGAGTTTGGATGAATTTTTTTCTTTCCGAGTTCACTACAAAAATTTCCAAAATCCCTTTACTACATCGCAAATAGTCGTTTTGACACTCTAACCACCATGTAAACCATGTCACAGAAATAAACACAGACAAAAAAGAATTTCCTAAGTTAGCAACAAATTGTTTTAAGCAACACACAAGCAAGTATCTTGTCAACTAAGGCAATTTCATAAGATACAAGCATTTGTGCCTTGTCTACACTGGTATCTATGGAAGTTACTAAACCTATTCACCCTGCTTACAATGTGTATTGATTTACTGCTTAAGCTCAGTGGAAAGAACAAACTTCTCATCAGTAAAAAGTTGGATGCCTGGCCTTCAACTGATGAACATCTGCTCAGATTCTGTGGTTAAAGCAGTGAAAATAAGAAGTTCGTTTTCAATCAGCCACAGAAGCATGTGCCAATGCAAGAATCCAAAAGGCCTGACTTTATCACTGCTTTTATGGAGCTTCAACTCTTTGGTGGTATCTAGGGGTGGAGAGGAATACAGCCCTATCTTGTCTTTGGAGAAAAGGAACACAAAACTTGTTGGTGAAAAGCTATGGTTGTGTCACTAAGAAAAAAGAGCTGCAGAATAACCACGAAGTAAATGTAAATAAAACATGGTGAGATTTGACATCAGTGATTTTCAGTCAAGCAGCTTCCTGCATTCATGAAATGCAGAGATAAAGGCAAAAAGCAAGCATCCAAGGGAGTAAGGAAAAGCCTAGAGATAGAAACTTGAAAAATCATTTATTCCATTAAGGGAGAGGAAGGAAAAGAAATGCAAGAGAAAAATTAAAAATAACACTATAAAAATTAAATCAAATCAAAAATATTAAAAAAAAAACTTGGGCTATTTAACAGCAATGCTCACTCTTTTTCTATTTCATGGCAATTTTAATGTTATTGCTCAGAGAACACACAGTCCCATCCTGCTCATTAGTGAAACAAAAACCTTGAAGAAGAAATTCATTCTCCTCTGGTAGTGAATGTCACTTCAAGACTAAGCAGAATCCTGTTGGAAATCCACCAAGGCACTAATACACATGGGGTCATCCAGAAGTTGCACAAGAGATTAGATCAACAGACTTCTTAAACAATCTTAAAACCAACCAGTCAAATACCTTCATGCTGTATTACATGCTGCAACTCTCATAATAACCTGGAGATAGGTAGAACACTGGAAACAAATACGACTATTGAGGCTTGCATTAACACATTAATTAACTTCTCCCTTGGGAAAGAGAGGAAAAAAAACCTGACATCAAGTAACAAGCTGCTTAGATTTGTCCCATGGAGATGTCTCACCAGCTCATAAACTTTAATTTCCCTGACATACAGTCTCTTAAAAGTTGCTTGGCTATGCAGCTATTGCTGAGCATTGTCCCTTATCTGCCCCTGCTGTTACAAAACACCCTAATGGCAGTAATTTCAAGAGAAAAGGACAAGCTTTCAGGAAATTCTGTGAACTGATCAGTTTATTTGTTACTGAGTTCAAGGTTCTATGAGTTTTCTTGGAGGGGGGCAGGACTGCAAGAAAATTTGGGAGAAGACAACACACTGTGAATTACAAATGTCTGGGGAAATAGAAAAACCTCCTTTGCAACAGACTTTCAAGTAGTTTAGATTTGACACATGGCTTTCAAAACTCCCCACAGTGCAATTCCAAGAAGTCCAAAATCAGATCTTGTGATTTCCCATGGCTCGGGATTTACAGCACTATCTGACATGGAGGCTGTAACTTCTCTGATCTTGGCTGCTGCTTCTCAACATCACTGGGGAAACACTGCACAAATGCTCAGTGTGACCCAAACACAGCTCAGATAAGATACTTCACACCTCCCAAGAGAGGCAGTATTTAGTTCCTCATTTTTTTAATAAAGCTAAGAAGCATTGTGACTATCAAAGTCTCAACCCCAACAAAGTCAATCCAACACATCCTTGAGTAAAAGTCAAAAAAATCACCATGGAGAATGATATTAACCAGCATCAATGAGCAGCAATGCCACACTTTAGAGCTCTCAAACACAGGATTTGACCATGGGCTTCCCCTGCCAGGAGGGAGAATGAGACAAGGTGCACCACTGAGATCTAACAGTGTATTAAAGCTGGACACTGTGTGTCCTGCCCCAGCACCCAAAGTAACAATAGCTTAACCTGGCAGATAAACTGGACACTCAAGGATCAAAATCACCAATTAATTCAGGAGGATCAGAACCATTACAATCCCACTTAGCATGTAAGCAGGTGTTTATCATGGGAGAGTGGAAATATTTAATAGTTCTCTGCAACACTGACCCAGGAAACATACAAGCCCCTTTCAATTACTGCAGTGAGAAAAGAAAACCAGTTCCAATTCTGTAAAGCATCTGTGCCCTTAATTTCAAAGATGAATCTTCAGATTAGGAGCACAAGCACTTAAATGGTTATTTAGAGAAAAATCACATCTGAAACCCTTTGTCTGCCTCATGTTGCTCATCTCTGAAACCCTTGCAGACAACAAGCTCCTTAAGTGACTCTTGAGTCTGAAAAGAAACCATCACTGAAATCCTTGATCAATACAGGTAAGAGCCCTTACTATGGGCTAGAATTGAAAGAGTAAAATGAAAATTGGCAAATAAGAGAAACTGCAAAGTAAGTATGGATTCTCACAGGAAAGGAAAGGTAATGTTTAGTGTTTTAGGTGTTTCTGTGTGCTATCATGTCCAGGAAACCTCAGTTCAAGGAAATGTTAAAAGATGAAACTACCATCCCTACTTCTAAAGAAGTGTCCAAAATCCATTACCTGGGGACAAAGATGGAGTTATGAAGGAAGTTCTCAAAGACTTTCCGGTACTCTGCTTCCTCCTTCTCCGCTTGCTTTTCTGCCTCTGTCTTGGGACAAGCACAACAAGGTCCTTTTTCTCCTCCACAGCCCTCTGGCTTGGTGGGCTCAGTGGCTTCTTCTGTATCAATGGTCCCATCAGCATATCTTCGAATTGGGACTTTATCTTGAAAGAAAAGAACAGAGCTAGTTTCTTTCTCTCCAGATCCTGGATACAGCAATAGTCCATTATTTACCCATTCCCCTCTGCTTGCTGGCATTTAGCTCTTGCCAGTGAAGAGCCTTGGCAGACAGAGTCCCAGACATTTCAACACAAGAACATTTAGTTCTCCTACCTTTGGAGCAGTAATTGTGTCTGTACAGGTAGCTGTCCTGAGGCTGCTGCTGCCAGCGCACGATGTAGTAGGAGAGGTTCCCATTGGGAAGAGAGGGAGGATTCCATTTCACAATCAGCTGGGATGAGGAGTTGGATGCTGAAATAACATCCAGGGGAATGGATGGCACTAGAAAAGGAAAAAATAAAAAAAAATAAAGGTATTTAAATCTAGGGCACTCTACAATGTACTTCCATGCAAGCTTTTGAGTGAATCCCAATGCATTTCTGTACTGCATGGAAAAACACCACCTTATTTCAAAGAATGAATTTTCTACTTATTCCGCCAGTTAAGGCTTCAACTGCAACCAAGTCCCAACCCAAAGCTGTACAGTCTTTACAATGGAACAGCCTGAAATTCTAACTCCCAAGAAGCTCCCATAGTTCCTAACAAAAGTAAAATCTGAAAAACAGAGTTTTAATTCAAATTTTAATACTACTTTCATAATTAGTGAAACTGATAGCACTATGCACATCATCTGAACATAATTTTATTTCTGTATCAACAACAGAACTTGCACAATACTGCATCAATCACACCTGCAGCATTATCAACCTCTCACCCCAGAGCCCACTGTCTCACCTGCAGCATTGGTTCGAATATATATAATTTCACTTTTTGCTCCATGAATATGATGATTTTCCATCATTGTGAGGGTAACAGCTTTGACATAAATGGCATATTGAGTCCAAGGTTTCAACCCTTGCAGCAGAATTCCAGGATTGTTCTCTTTGTTTGGTGGCAGGTCAACATCAACCATGTTCCAGCTATTGGAGCCACACGCATCTTGCCCATCATACTCTGTCACATTTTTGAATGGTCTGAAATATTCAAAGAAAAAAGTAGCACAAGTATTTATTTTCTTTCAAAGACTGTCATATACGTATGAGAGTGCCTCACTTCAAAGTTGCTCAATGAAACAAATAAAGCTCACTTGTTTTCCACAGAATATACCAGAAAAAAAAATAAAAATCTGTATTTCCAAGCAGTACAAAATTCAGAGTTCAGTTTTAGTCATGAGCAATAAAGCAACATTCTCCAAGAAAACACTATATTTATCTATTCTGAAGCGAAATGCTTCAGACATATTTAAACTTTAAATAAGTGTATATCAAACAGAAGCAAACAGTTGTTGATGGTTGCCAGGCTTTTTACCATAAAGAACCCAAGTTCCAAGACTGGCCTTGACCAGTCCAATGGGCTTTTTACCCTTTTATTTCCACACAATACAAACACACTTATATAGTTCTACTTTCCAGAACTTGTAACACTGGTGCAAGAGCATACAAACTCTTGTTACAACATCTGTACACTTGCCAGCACTGGCTTCATTCTAGAACATCACAATGTTCTTTTTCAAGTGATGCTGGACACGAACCATTTGTGCTTCCATGTCTCACATCTTTGCTCCATGTATCATTACCAGCATTCCAAACCTCCCTTTCACAACTCCAGGTTGCTTGGAGAATTATTTTTGTGCTCGTTTGGTTTTTTTTATTATTTTAAATCTCAGCCATTACAAGGATATGCAAAGGCAGAGGCATCTGCCAAGTAATTTGGATTTCTCCAGTAACTGCCCCACACCTTCATTATCAAGAGATACTAATGCAGGAAATGACCAAAGCTGGATAGTCCAAATAACCCCAAACCCTGAGCAGAAAAGTCATCCAGGTGGCAGGGCAAACTCCTGACCCGAGATGCTCTCTAGTCAGTACTTTTACTAGAGAATGAAAATATCTCCGTAAACATGACGACTTAGGATGAGCTCCAAATCAGACCCCTGAGAAGAGCCAAACCATCCACCTTTCTATTTTTTTTCAAATCTGAAGCCTCCTGGTGGATTTGCAATGCATTTGTAGGACTCGTTCAAATCAATCCTCTATTTTAAAGGAGACTTGTGCTCCACCAAGAAAAGAATCAGAACAAAAGCAGGACTTAAGGATGAAATACTCAAACTGGATGAGACATTCCACAGTAGAAACAGAATCATCTGCTCCCCCTTGGACTGCCCTGGTTAATCTCTGACAACATCTACTTACGCCTCTTTGTAGTAAACAGTGAAACTAATGAGGTCTCTGTAATCTGGAGGGCGATACCGCTCCCATGTCAGTTTAATCCGATTCTTGAGTGTCGTGTTGGAAACAAAATGCAGAATTTTGCTTTCGCCTGCAATACAAAAGGACAGGACATGCCAGAGTTGGCATCACATCACCCCTCTGTGTTTTTTGTTTCTTAGATATAAGTTCTAGCTAATGAGCCTTTCCAGTAGCACCTACAACACCACAGGATACCAACAGCCTTTTTCTCTGTAGAGCTTCCTCTTTCCTCCTACTACATTTAAGTGCTTTAAGGGTAAGCAGTGACCTTGGCAATCAGTTTAAAACATGCTTGAGCCACTTGTTATTAATTTTTTTGAAGCAGATTTTCTTTTAATGCATCATCAGAAAGCTCTTGAAAACTACTTCAGACTCTCCCTGAGCGAGGAATGGAAGTGCTGTTTATCCACAGGACTGGTTTGGAAGCACTAAATTCATCATCCAGCTCCAAAGCACGCACGGAGCAGTCACCGGCCTCTGCGTGCTCACTCTCCAGGACAACTTTTGACAACTACCATTTGTTTTTCTGGAGACTGAACAACATGAAAAAGACAAAGGAGTTTACATTCCTATTCATCAGAGGCTGGACCAAGAACTCCAAAACTCAGTTCATATACAGCACAACCATTTGATGGCAGCAGCTTCCAGCTACTCTTCTGAACAGACCTGGATGGAAGCCCATAGCTTGAAATGAATGGCTTCCCACTACCAACTCACTGAGTTTCCAACCCAAAACAAAATAGCATTTTAAAAACTTAATTCTTGGATGAAGAAATTGTGTTCTGTCAACTGTGAGCTAGTTTCTAATGTTCCATAGAAGCTCTGAAAATAAAGAGGTTTTCACCCTCGTGTACACTGGCACTGTTGGTGCTATCTTTGCAAAGGCAGTTGAGCTTTTGTTGATTCTTTTGCCCTTCTCAGAGTCAGAAAGCTTTCTGTACTGGTTTCTTAAAAAAGCAGGCAGCGGCTGGCACTGGCCTCAGTGGTAGTAAGGCCTGGCTGTGTGTCTGTAACTCCTCCAGGGCTGCAAGGCTTTGCTCTATTCAATGTGCAAAGAATGGAGGGTGCTTACAACAAGGATCTGGGCCATCTGCGTGTCTGCATCGCACCCAAAGAGACATTCAGCAGACTACGTGTCCTAGTTTTGTAACCATCCACAACAAGGGGACTTGACTTATACACAAGATCCATTTTAGTTTACTCAGCTCCAAAAACACCACAATCCGACCAAGGGAAAAATGCATTATCAGTTTTAAGGGTTTGAGGTGAAACTTGTAGGCATTCTTAATTCCTAGAAGAGAGATTGCTTTTAAACGTGCTGTTACACCTGGAGACCTGATGTGCAGATCACCAAAGCCAAGAGAGGACTTTCCAATAACTCTGACCATTGCAGAATCCAAAATCAAATGCAGAGACCCTCAGGCTTAGAAATGCTGCAGAGCATTAAAAAGTATTGTCAATTCAAAAGCAAGTAATTTGAAAATGAAGCAGAGCAAACTAAGTTTGAAACACACATTTCTAGCTTGCTACCAGGTAGAATATTTACAGGAGCTTAAATGAAGCTGAAAGTAACAGAAACAATTTGTGTTGGTGTCTGTGGAATTCTTATTCAGCAGCTTCCTTAGTATCAAGAAAGAGTAAGTACCAGAGAGAGGAACACACCTATAATGATGCACAGATACAAAGGAGACTGAGAAATTGCTCCTTGTTGGATACACCAAACTACTGGATTTAATTTCTCATTTCCCAGGTATGCTCCTATTGTTATCTGCTGCTGCTGCTGTCACAAAACAGGGGATTTGGGAAGAAATCATCTTCTACAAGTGGGTTTTACAGATGAGATGGGAACTCTGTAACCACATCATTTTCCACTCATGCAAAGGTACCTTCACAGCTACAGTGTAAAGCCTGAACAACCAGAAGAGCTGAAAGCCTCCTGCAAATCCTAAACTCTAAATATTGCAATGGTCAGCAGCATGTCAGTGTGTTGGGTTTGTTCTTGTGACACCCTCCTGTGCAGTTGGCATTGAGATTTTTTTGTTTGTTTACTTACAAGAGGCTCTCTCCCCATTGTTCCTTGGATTTATATCTCCTTTGCTCTGTCGTCCCTTGGTTCCTGAAACTTCCTCCATTCGGTAAATCTCAGAAACACACAGTTTAGGATTAAATGCAAAGTACATTTTCCCCTCACTGATTGTCAAGTTATGATGGTTCCAGTCCCAGAGCTGCTGAAGATTGTGGTTGTCAAGCACATAGAAGGAATAATTCCTAGAAGGAAGTTTTTAAAGAAAAAATACTCATTTTAATTCACAGACCATTCCAATGAAGAATACAAGAAAACTCTGAAACACTGTGTTTGTTCCCTCTTACTTTAAGTTGGTGTTCAGCAAAGGGCTTTCTCCTCTTCCATGGAGCAAGTTAACCCTGAATGTTTAGAGGGCAGGGAAACCCAAAGGTGACATCACAGCATCAAAACCCCACTCCAACATTTCTTTTAAGAGTTGTATAGGAGCTGCTGTGAGGAACATATAAATTCATGTCCTCTAAACAGCACTCTCTACACTGGATTTTCCATTTGGTGGCAAATGGGAAGCAGTAACCTTAGATACTTTTTGGAAGGAAAAGCCTTCTGGAGTTCTGACAATAAAACACAGTCATTAACACAGCTCTTGCTTATGTTTACAGAAGCAACTCTAAGAGTTTGCATTGTGAGGTTTCTTTGCCTCTGTTCTACCTCTTGGCCCAATAAAGATTTCCTACATTGTGCCAAGTGCAGTTGCACCTGTACATCAAAACCCAATAGCAAACAGTTGTACTGACTGGACAGGATCCACACTTCAGAGCACAGAACTAAACAAGGGCAGCTGTGCTGAGCCCACTCCCTAAGCCCAGCCCTGGAATAACATGAACATCCTTTATTTCCACAGATACTACATACAAAGTTGTATGCAAAAGGCCTATTAAATATTATGAAAGCACTATTAAATATTATGAAGAAATTCCTGGTACTGCTGAATTGGAAAAAAAAACCACACATGCAACAGAAGCAAGATTGTAGGCTCTACATCAGCTGCAAGACAACACCTGGAAGGACACTGACACTTTGGGATAGCTGGGACAGGAAAGCACCACCGGGAAATGAGATAAAGGTCTGTGTGATGAACCTAAATCAAGATAACCCACCATGGGTTAATAAATCTGGCATTTCACTCTGGTAGGAAGCTCCCCCATCATTAACTACAGCAACACAAAATCCACTATTAGCACAGTGAAGCCCATCTTACACTGCTAAGCCCTTGTCAACAGAGCTACACTGGGCTTTCTACAAACCCTTCTAGCGACGGAGCTTCTGCAGGGAAATGTGGAAAAGAAACCATAGGGCTCATAAAAAGCTGCCATATTATTCATTTATGGTTTTCCATCAATTATTCCATAAAAAATTTAGCCTTAAATCCTTCCTCACCCAGCATGAAACAAAAACTGTTCATTCTGGCTCCAATCTGCACAGATTTGCCATTTCTTGTAATGCAGACTGTATTTTCAGAATAATGTGAAAGACAAGTTGTTTCTCCTATTTCCACCTGTCCTCTAATTACTCAGGACTTGATTTGTAATGAAGTTGATAAAGCTGGTACCACTTAATACAGATGCTGAGAAGAGTGTGTGCTCTGTTAACAAGGGAGCAGAGACATGTCTGTGGTTTAAATGCATTCTGCCAGGAGAGAACGAGGATGTTCAGCTGCCTGTGGGATTTAACAGACATCACCAAATCTTGTGTTGATTTGAAAGTACTGCACCTTACTGAAGTTCAGTGTTTTCTTGTCTTGTTTGAAAAGCTAAACTCATGAGCTTCTGAATCCCCCACACAAAACCAGCCTCACACCCGCCCCCTCCAAAATCAGGACCGAGCTGAAAAGCATCCCCATGGGAGCCTGCATTGCAGCCAGGTGTCACCACAGGTCTGGAGGGTGTCATTCATTCCCCACACATCCTCAGCACAGGGTGCCTGCTCTGCTGGAATGCTGTGGTTAGATCAGGCCTTGCTGCCCTCCTGAAGACTGTCTGAATTCACCACACCCTGACAATAATGACCCCAGGAAAACAAGCAGTAAATTCCTCAGTGAGGAACCACACAACAGCTAGAGATCCTGTTCACAACTTCCAACAGGCCCGACAGCTGATGCCTCTGCCTCAAAATGGTGTAGAAAACAAGGGGGAGGTTGTTTTGATTTTCTAGGCTGTCCCCCAGTTTGCTGCAGAGGTTGAAACACAAAATCAATGTGTCTGTGAGGGCACAGCCCGGACGATCCCGTGCACCGACAATCCCATAGGATTTGCAGTTGGAAACAAGCTTCTCCACAGAGCCAGTGCCTTTCCTGAGCACACAGCCTGCTCTGCAAGGGCAGCAGGGAGAGCTGCCCTCAAACTCACTCTGTCAGATGCTGGAATTTTAAGAATTTAGGGCTGACCAAAGATGAGTCCGAAAGAAAGAGGGAAGCTGTGAAGAATTCCTGGTGCTTTAACTTTATACAGTCAGGGCAGACATCAGACGTAAGCAACCTTCCCAATGACCCTCACACTACCTTTTCTTCTACAATTTCCCCCAGATTTTCATTTAATAGTTCTGTCATTATGAAGGGGCCCGATTTCTTCCACGGAACACTAGTCTAAACTTAGGATGGCTACTTGATTTGGGATGAAAAAGAGCAAGACAGTTTGCTGAAGGACCCTCACTGCACCTCAGCATCACACATTCTGCAGGGATAAAAACTTTTGCCTTGACAAACTTTTACCACCATAGGAAAACAGGAGTTATGTACAGCAATAAGCATCACATGGTGAGTAATTATAGAAGCAATATAATCCTCAGCAAACATTTCAAGGGATCAACTTTTCCTGACCAGTCTTTTGCATGCTCAGTAGATAATCCATGTAATGCTAACATTTCAGGGAATTGCAAACAATTGCAACTTTCACTGTTTCACTTCCAGTTGCACTCCCTGGCCGGTAAAATTTGTATTTATTTCCTTTCAGCTGACTTCTCTAAAAAACTCTTCTAAAATCCAACCGTAAAGAACTACAAAGAAATCCCATTGTTTCAGAAGATGCTCTTTTCTCAAAAAGAACAAACAAAACCACTTTACTGATGTAAAGAATCTACTTAGAAAAACCTAAAGTGAAAAGCAACAGCAAAGGTACCATAAAATACTTGTAATATACTCAATTTAACATGCTGATTAGGACAGTAATGCAAATGAGCAATGCTGTGCAGAGGTGTTCATGAGGAGAAAAACGCTGCATATTAGTAGAAGAGGAGATTCTACAAATGAAAGTGAATGTTTTTTAGAAGACTTATTCTCCACGGCTTTCTATTAAAGTGAAATTGCATCCACAAATATCTGAACACTTACCCATCCACCTGCTCCTCTCCCAGAATGTACCGCAGGTTCTTCAGGAAAGACAGGGAGACCAGTGCATGGGAATGACGAATCTTCACATATCCTGTTACTGTCTCAATCAGACCCATAAAATTCTCCAGTTCTGAGGCAATGTTATCTACAGTGAGAAAAAGATAATCATTATTGTAACAGAATTCACAGCTTTGACTAATATTCTGCTTCATGCAGTATTAGCTCAGTAAAATAAAATGTTTGTATTTGCTGCTTTTGAAAATGAGGCACTGGTTTTCTTCCCCCAGAACAGTTGCCTGAGCAGCCAGATGGTTGAAGGGCAAAATAAAGCCACAGAGCAACAGTGGGAAACCAGTTCCATACTGGAACACCTGACTTTTCCGTGAGCATTGCCCTCTGAAGCCAGCACCAAATGGTGAGCCAGCATTCTGGCAGGGATGAAAAGACCCTTGTGTACATGTACACACCATGAGATGGAATTGCTTTTTGGGTATGGAGCAAAGCTCAGGCAGAAAGCTCCACTGGAAAACAGAGAATGAGATTGAAGATGGAGAGGATAGGGTATGCTCCTGGTCTGCTCTGGGCCACAGAGCATTACTTTCCATGACCTGAAAAGCTACAAAACAGAACCAGTTGATGAAACAGCAGAGGCAAATCCATCAGGAAGTTCTCCTGCCATGGAGTAAAACTCACTGAAGCTGAGTTTCTACTAGAAATTATTAAAATTACTGCAGAGGAAGCTCTGCTCATTAGAACTGCATTCTCTCTATGAACTGTCCCTGCCCAGGGCTGCAACACCCCATCCTTCACAAGCTCAAACTTTGCTGTCCTTACCTCCAGCAACCCCTGGCCCAACCCCTTTGCCTGGTGTCACCACCTTGCCAAGTTACACTGCTGTTCCAAGGAGAAGCTTTTAAGGACTTGGGAGAAGCTGCTTTGGGGTGTTTTGCTTTGCTGCCATAAACACACCAAAGATGTAAACACATCCTAATAGATGGCTGGGAAGACCAATTACCAAATACCAATGGTTGGTTCCCATACCATCTGATGCTCTTTGGCACTCTAAAATAATGCTTAAATAAAATAAAAACACTCCCACACACTTGCCCCAGGTAACTGGAACATCTTCCACAAGGGAAGATTCCACCTGTAGCAGTGGGACCACAAATTAAAAAATCCACATGCTGCTGTAACTAAACCCTGGAATTTCATTCAGCATGAGGTAGGGAATCAAACAGATCCCAATCTTTCAACCTTATTCGTGAAACCGAAAGGGACCTTCCATAGGGACATGCAAGTCCAATAAAAACTAGCAGCAATTTTTACTCTGCTTTTAAGAGCTCATCAACTGTCAACACCTCCCTGGCTGATGAATCACTGCTCTGACAAATTTAATCCAGCGCTTGTTGAAGACATGTGACAGAGGTGGCCAGCTCACTAATGCTGACCATCCAGCAGCACAGTGTTAGGCTTTATAAGAGAAAGCTCTGAGCACTCTGGATTCCATGTTTTAGCAAAACACCACACCTTGCCTTAAAAAGTGAGGATCCGCAGTTTTATAGTGCCATATGACAAGTTATTTACCTACCCAGATGCAAGGATTTTCAACTTTTCCACCTTCTTGGGCCTTTATTACTCCTTTGGGACCACTGCTCATCTAACTGCCTAATCCTGGTTCCTTGACCTGCCAAAAAACCTAGCAAAAATACCAGCTTTCCCTGGGAGCTGAATACCTATTCCACCCGCGTGGGGCAGGACGGCGCTGCAGTGGGCCAAATCAAACAGGAGCACTGCTCTGGGCCTGGAAAGCAAACAGCTTGCTGAGTTTTTAATGTTCTTATCATTATGCTGACGACAGAAGGAAAAACGTGAAAAGCAGCCTTATCAGGGGTTCAGAAAGAGAGGGCGATCACTTACTTCCACGCCGGATGTTGATCAGCAGATTTCCCTTGAGAATTGTGCATCCCTGCAACATTTGTGCTGACGTGACTGAGTCAATGGTCTTCGTTTTCCCATCCTCACAAATTTTGGGGCAAGGCCCCTCACAAGGGCTGCAGAACATGCTGTGAGGAAAGAGTGGGATATTGAAAATAAACAATGATGTGGGACTCTGAGACTACAGACTGCTTTGAGGTGAGTTTGGAAGATATTTCCCTCTACAGCTTAGGCAAATCCTCCAGGCCAGAATGAGAGCTGTCATGCTTGTTCAGGATACACTTGCCTGCTGCACTCAAGAGAAGCTGGAGCAGTCTTACAGTGACTGAATGGACCCACACCCACAGTCTGACAAGGCTCTGTGATCCTTCCACAGTCAAAGGCACTTCAGGTAAAACCCAGTGCCCTTGCAACTGTGCATTTACTCTGACTTAATTGCTCCCAAGAACCCAACCCATCCCATTTGCAAAGGCAGCCTCAGAGTGCAGGGAGGTTTCGTGCTAATCCAGGCCCAACCTCACAAAATAGGCCAGCCAAGAACTGGAGATGGGAAAATACTGTTCACGTTCTTATAAAGTTGTCTGGGTCCATGTCCATAAACCAATATTTAAAGCTCAGCACTAGGGAATTCCATGCTCCTGGCTGTTTAACTCAAAGACAACTGTGGGGGCACACAATCAGGAGGGATGTGGAGAAAGTGAGCAGTCAGTTAGTCACTACTTCTTACAGCTTAAGAGGCATTAAAGCAGCAAGTTTAAGGAAACAGAAGATTGTGTCTTGATGCAAGGACAACTAATTGGCAACAGAAATTGGGAGAGGAAGGCCAGAAGTCTAAGCAGGTTCAAAATGGGTGGTACAGATGGAAACATCAAGAAAGACACAGCCCAAAAGTCAGAAAAACCAGATTGCCAGAAGCTGAGAGGCAACACCGAAACACAGGCTCATTTCTGCTTCTTATGTTCACAGGCACTCAGAAGCATTTTTAGCAGCCAAACTCAAGCAGTAAGAACTCAGGGCAGATCAGCCTTTGGCTAAAGGAGCTTTTTAAAGGCTCCATGTTATATTCCCTACATAGTCATCTCAAAGTTGGACACTTCCTGTGCGCACAACACAGGCGCTCTGATCACCCCTCCTGGTAAATGCCTTTCCTGATTCAAGATAACTTTTATTTTCCAATTTATTCTAGCATTTTACTTACTATTTCATGATTACTTACTCCACCTAATATCACTTTAGAGAGGAAAAATAAAAATTAAAAAAACCCAAACCCAGCTCCAAAGAGGCTTCTGTCAGCTTCTGCTGACAACACTGATGGACAGGGGCTTACTAGTTATTTTTTTTAAAAGTGAAACCACTTTCCTCTGAGGCTTAAAGAAACATGTAAATTGATAAGTTTTCCATGCATAAACCATAATAGAAAGAAGCTCCTTTTCTAAGTAGTAAGCTCCTATTTCAAAATCCTGCTCTATAACATGCCACAAACCACTAAAAGCTGCAGACACAAGAAAGAGGCTTCAACTAAATGTACAAAGAATGCTGGAAATGCTTTCCATTTGCAACTATTTGTTAACAGCACCTCTGGGGAACAGAACATTCACTAGCCTTGAGTTACAGCTCCTTTCAATCTCTACAGAGAGCACAACACCGAGATAAGACAGGATGGCCGCACACTCCAGCGTAAGCGGCTCAAACAGCTGCTCCTACAAGCTCCAGGAGATAACAAAAGCTGCATTTCTCAGGTGAATATCTGGATTTGGGCAAAGGCTGTGTTAAGTTGCTTGTATCCAAATGCCAACTGGAGACTGTCTGGAACGGATGGATGACACGCACGCAGAGACACACAACTGCTGCATCACCACAATCACCTTTCCAGAAACACAGCAGCCTACAAAGACATCTTTTTAGCACAATACTGAAGCACTACAAATTTTAGCACACTGACTATCCTTTACCGAAAGGCCATGGCTTCCAAGGGACAGTAGGCAATGAAGGCTGCTTGCTTAAGCCAATGGAAATTACAAAATCACAAGCAAGCATTGCTCCAACTGTTAGAATTAAATAACAGGAGAAGAGTGACACTGTTACAAGAATTTATTTTGTATAATATTGTTGGCTGCTGCATTGTTTTTGTCACCATCTATATGATTACTTCCTTCTAAAACATCATTGTTATCTCCTGGAAATACTGAAAAAAGGAAAACTAAATTAAGTACACCGAAGAATACATGTGCCTAAAATGCAGGTACACAAAGCAAATAACATGCAAGGCAAGGTAACTGCTATGGTTTGTTCTGTTTGATAATGGTCATCAGCCAACTCCAGCCTCTGGCTCTACTTTGCTCTTGGGCTTCATTTTCATTTTGTTACTCTCTAGGTGAAGAGCTGGTTCTGCACTGCATGACCTCCTCCAGCCCTTCTGAAGAACCAGAGCCCACTGAGAGTGCACAGGACCACACATACCCATCGGGTGGATTCATCACGGGAAGGTCTAAGTCAGCTTCTACCGGGAAGCCACACAAACCCTCGCTGCAATTCCCCCTTCTACGTCCTCCCCCCTACCCCATGTAATTTGCACCCCAAGCTGCCCCTGGACAGGGAGTGGTAAACCCACACAGGACAAATAGGCAGAAGCCACGTTACCTTTGGCTCCCGTTGCGGATGAAGCCCGAGGGACACTCGGCCATGCACTCGTCGTTGTGAATCACGAACTTCTCATATTCACTGGCGTCCGTGGCGGGCACTTTGGAGCAGAACTCCCTGGTGACGCAGCGCCAGCCCTCGAACTTGTAGGTGTTGGGGGGGCAGGTGGGCAGGCACACACCCTCGTAGTAGTAGTTGCGGCAGGCCACGCATGCCGTGTTGTTGTCGGGCGCCGTGCAGCTCCCCAGGCACTCGGGGTGGCAACACTCGTTTTGGTCTGTGCAGGCTCGCTTCCCACATGAGCTGGGGCACACTGCAGGACACAAAGCAAGAGAGCGTGAGCAACACCTGTCGAGGTGAGCGGCACTAAAGGACAAACTCTGTTCTGTGCAGCTCTATGACGATTCATTCCCTGAGCTCTAGAGCATCTCTGAAAAAAACCGAACCCGTTATTGTAAACAATTCTAGTTTTCTCAGCTTTAGTTGCCTGAAAGTATCTTTTTCTCAGATCAGATTTATGACATGAACCAAGTAAGTAATAAAGAAAAGTGCTGAAAGCAAGATCAACATAAGGATAATGGAAACAGGCAGTACTGGAACCTATTCCATAGCCCTAGTATTATGGACAATTTATTTTTTTTTCTGGCATGCTGACTTACTGTCGTTCTAAGCATTTCTTGCCTTTCCTATTTGTACTTCAAATTGGTCTTTTACTGGCAAGAAAACAAGCTTCCTTCAAAACAACTTAATTACACTTGTAGAAGGAAGCACTGCTCTACTGCAGCACACATGGTTGGGCTGACCCCAGTGTAGCATCTCAATGTTGCTTATGTGTGCAAAATGCGGTTTAATAAAGTATCAAATCATCATCCACATCAAATACCGAGGAATTACGGAGCTACTATTTTCCCCTGAAGAGCATAACAGAATTCTGCCTTATCCTCAAATTCTGGGTTCAGAGAAGAAAATATGAAAGGGAGAAAAAAAATAAAGGGGGTGCAAATTTATGGAGTCATTCTTTTTATGTGAAAGCATTTCAGCTTGGAAGACATGAACAAAGAGCAGAATCCTCAGCAGCCGAGCTCACCACTGCTAGATCAAAAGAAGTGGCAGCATTATATTTATGTAACAACAGCATTTTGATTACAGCACTCTATGGCCTTTTAGCCACACCAGCCCTGTGCCAGAGGCTCTGGAAACACACATTTTGCAAATGTGGTTTGCATTAAGTAGCTGTTTGCCACTTTCTAACTTAGCTAAAACACTGTGTCAGTAACAACAGCAGAAAACTGGATTTCAGCAGTGCCACTACAGAAGATCCAAGTGAAGCACCACAGACATTTAAACTGAATGATTTCAGCAGAAAGCAGAGAATCAGGAGAGGTTAACATCCCAAAATGACCATGGAAGTAGCTGATGCAACTCCACACAAGTTCTTCATTGTGATTTATCTCTCAGTTTGCAACTACAGTGGTTGTTTTTTAAATCCAGGACTAAACACCCTAAAATTTTAATGCCCTCCTCTTGCCATAATGAAGTCCAGGCTTTCCAGTTTTTACAATCCCATTCAGCGGAACTCCACCATCCAGACACAGGATAAAATGCTCAAGACTGCTATTAAGCAATACTAATAACAGTAACAGCAATAAAAACAATAATTCCCCCACAAAAACAAACGAAAAACCACAAAAACCCCCGTTGCTTGTAGCTCTGCATACACAACGTTGACATCTTACAATGATTTTTGATTATAAAGAGCCATTTTCTCACAGCTTTAAGTAGTGCCCACCTTAAAAAGGACTTGTCAAAATGCCAGTGAGGAATTTTACATATCTTGTCAAAATGATTCTAATTGACTCTGATGAATTGTAATCACTTTGTTTTGAAATGGATGGAGGGGTGAGACTATGAGAACAAGGAGGTGGGACCATAAGCGCTGATGGTGCCTGCTCAGGTACCACAAGTATCACAACTGTCACATGAAAACCAAATTAAGAAAATTTTTGCAGTCTGTAAGACTACAGAGAGCAGGAATGAAGAGGCAATCACTGCAAAATAACTCATTGTCTGAAGATGCAAGATGACTTTTTTTCTTGAAAAGGAAACAAACCATACACAACAAACCTGTATACCAAAATAAAACATGCATGCAGGTATGTATTCTCTTTTTGACTGTAATCTGCACCAGTGTAAAAGAAGTCTGCCCAGATGCCACCTTGGTAAGGCATCACAAATTGCCTTCCACCTTAAGGTACACAGGACTTGCATCTGGCACTACTAAGGGATTAAAAAAGAAAATAAATCAGTGTGTCTTGCTAGCAGATGGACTGCTGTGCTGAGTGGGTGCCAGAACTCAGATTTCATGTGGTAGCTACATTTCCAGTTCAAAGCCCTACTAAAAAAAACACACATACCCCACCCCATGCCTCCACAAAGTTCATTACTGTATGTATTGATTAAATACATGATTTTTTTTGTTTTCATCTGAATAATTTGCTGGAAAAAAAAACACTGTTGTACTAAGTACTGAGATAAACATTGATTAAGTTTATTTCATTCCTGGGAAAGACTCCTGTATTCCCTTAATGCCTCTGCCATTCATGAGCAGTCTGCTATAAAAATAGGATTCCCTGCATCTCCTGGTAAATCTGCTGACTCTGGTCTACGGAAATATAAATTGGAACAAAGAAGGATACACAAGTTCACATGAAAAAGGCAATCAGTGAAACAGGTTTTCAAAACTATAGTAATATTTTAATCACAACCATTTTAGTATGAACTCTTGAGAAGTTTATAGAGATTATTTTTTAAAAGCTCAGCAGCCTCAGTTTTTCCTCAGTCCTATTTTCTGCTTGTTCTTGCTAACGTTGGCAGAGTTTTCAGCCTGGAGACAATACGGGTATCCTGTTTCTTTGAAGAGGCAGAACAAGAACTTCTGTGTGTGTGTGTGTGTGGGACATATTATCAACAACAAAAAGCCTTATCTGCCTTACACGCCAGTTCCCTCAGATATCCCTGTTCTAAAAACCTTACTAAACAACACTGGCTGACCTCACAGTCCAGAGCCATCTATCCTCCCCCACCCTCCCAAACTGTGCTACTTGGGCTCCTAGATTTGTACCAAAACACATAAAATGCAGGTTCCAAAATACCTTGGTCAAAAAAAGCGCCCTGCAATACACTCAGTAACTTGTTGACTTTCCTCTGCAAGAGCATTAGAGACACAGACCCAAGCAAACAGTGGGCTGACATCTGGGGACAGAATTTATCAGCCAGGTACAACAGTGCCTTGGAACATGAAGGCTGATGACGATATACACAAAAAAAATAACCCCCAGAACAAATCCTTGCTGACAAGCCCAAGGGCAAAAAATGCTTAATTGTCATCACATGGAGATACCAAAATAATGGAAAATTTCAGAGACCTTGGAGAGCAGCCATGGGAGAAGGAAGTCAAAGCAAGACGTGGAGAAGGGCAGACACTTAAGCACTTTAATAAAGAGTTGATGGAGGCCTGACTAGACCAGCATCCATTTACATTTAGGGAGTGAAAGTAGTGTCAGATCTTCAGAGAAAGACAGTACACAATAGTATCAGTAGCCACAAATCCAATTTCCTGGAGCAAAACCAACAACAGAACTTTCATTGTCCATCTGTACCTCGCCTTCTCTCTGATTTCTTCAAATGAGTTTTCCCTGTCAACAAAAAACTCAGAAGATTTTCCAAAGACTATTAACATACTATGGTCACTGACAAAAAAGAAAAAAAAGGCAAAATTTTTCATTCCAAGATGCCTGTTTACTGAGAAAATCAGATTCAGACCCGACATACAGCAAGGAGATACCTTAAAACTAAATGCAAGAAACATCTTAGAAACACAAGGAGCCCCAAGAGAATCTGACACAGAGACTCATTACCCTCAATGAAAACCCCCAAGATGCTAAACCAGAACTGCAAACACAAAGCAAGGTTTGGAAATCCTCAAACACAACTCCAGGGGGAAAAAGAATTTAAAAAGCAAGCGACAAATCATCTGCCTGTATTTACGACAGTTCCCTTCTGGACAGGCTCAGGCTAAGGAGGTGGCAGTAAGTTTGTCTGACATCTAATCCCTCTCTGCTATGTGGAGCGTGCACCACGCCAGGGCTCGCTGCAAACACCCCGCGTTGACATCACGGCTATCGTACAGTTTGGGCAGACAAAGTGTTCTTATCATCTCCAAGACGCCATGACTTCAGCGATGCTGGAGCAGAAAAATCAGGTGAATAAACAATCAGTCACAGGGAGTGAAAATGCAGCCAGAGGAGGAAGACTCCTGGCAAGCAGAGGCGCCGGCCTCGGCCAAGGATGGCACCGCGCCAGTCACATGCGGGCAAGCGAAAGGTTGCCAAGTGTGGGATAAATATTTTTTAAAGATTCTTTCTCTCCTTGTAAAAAGATATTTGATCCTTCTTTGGTTTGGATTTTTTTTTTTGTATGCTCTTTCTTAAAGCATCCTTTAGATAAAATAATGTTTCAGAAAAAAAATAGGGTGGAAAAAAGCACCTCGTTTTGAGCAGAAACCAGAGGAGGAAGGGAGTGTTTTCTCCTAGCCAACTACTGAAAAAATTAGCTGTCTAAATTTATCCACAAAGACAGAAAAATACAGTCACTTTTGGAATGTTAATCCTTCTACATGACAGAATTTAAAAAATATTGCATTTTAATGGGCTAAACTTTGGTACGGCCTTTCAAACAGCTGACTTCAAATGCTCAGACAGCCTATACAAGACCTGATTTCTTTTGCCCAATATTCTGCGAGAATAGAGAGACTGGAGAGACATTACTCAGAAAATCCAGTTCCAATGATTCATGGTCAGAGCTGGAATCAAAAACTACAGAATAAAAGGAAATACACATATTAAATACATGCAGCAGCGTATTCTGATCACAGAAATATGGGTAAAAGTCATCACCAAGGCACTGAAGAGGCCACTCAGCAGTTGTATAAATCTTTATATTGCCATAGAAATAGGTATTAGCAGCACATCAATAACAACATATTTTTTGTCTTTTCTGTTCCCCTTCCCTAAAACTGGTTAACTTGTGTTCAGTGAAAATCCTGAAGGCAAAAAATTCTGCCATGTCAAACCACTTCCTAATAGATAAGGCACAGAGTCTGGCAGCTTTTGACATTAACTGCCATATCTCAAAAGTTCAGTTCAACCCAGCACTTTCAGATCTAGGACCTGAAAGAGATCATCTCCTCCTTTGTTAAACCTCCAGTATGTAGAGTCATGTCCACCACCAAAATACTTGGATAGGTCTATACAA